ATCCTTTTATTATCTTTTGGAAGAAGCCTGTGTCATTTCCGGTACAAAAATAATTGTTGGTTGAATAAAAGTAACTTTTTCAGAATTTCAGGTTTTACTGTAAATGAAAAAAAAAAAAAAACATTGTGCAGTTTTAGTCATGACTCTTATTTTATATTAAAAAAACATGTACGGTGTATGTATACTTTTAGCCATAACTGTACTCACATTTATAACATAACTGCTATAGTTGATTGATGCTGGCCCTGCTGACTGCTGGATCCAATGCCCTGTTCCCCCTTCACAGGAGGGTGGTATACTGGCCCCGGTGTGTCCAGACCACAAAACATTTTCACCAACTCTCTGGAAATCTTTTCCCAAATCCAGGGTATGTTAGATGTGTGGTCTGATCCCACAATATGCAAATGAAATGTCATGTTACCTTCTTTTTTTGTGATCAACTATCAATTTTGTTTCATGAAATATACAGGTATGTAGCATTCACATATGTGAAAATGTATACATAACTCAGAAACCAATAAATATATATATACAATTGCCAAAGCCTTAGATATTAAAATCTAGGTAGAGTAGGTGGTTACCAAACAACTAGTGATCATTTGGATGCATGAGAAATAAAGATCTTTACTTTGACAAAGGTCAAATTGTTATGGCAAGCCAAGACGGTTAGGTCAGAATATCTCTTAAACGTCGAAGCTAAATTTTGTTTAAGGGTACCGATAATGTCTGTGTCATGGGGATGAAAGACCAAAAACTATTTAAAACTTTTGTGGATTGACCTAAATTTGTTGGCTTGTGGATGGGCCCTCACACTGATCTGATGTTTATCCACTCCTCTGCAGTCTCTTCCACAGTTCACTGAAGAGAGGGTGTAGAGAGTGGTTTAGGCTCTAGCTTCATTGCCAATGATTTTAAAGAGATTTTCAATCAAGTTTAGATCGGCACTCTGGGCTATCCATTTTATTATTTCAGTGTTTTCAATTTCCTTGCCTGTTTTAGTTGATTGTCTGATAAATTCAAGGAAGGTAATTCATTTAGCTTCTTATAAGGGCCATTTTTCAACTATGGGCCCCTTTAGCCTTGTGAAGTTGAGTAAAAAAAAACTTGTTCAAAATTAACGTAACACAGCCTTATAAGTTTAAACAATAGTTTTAAGATCTGTCAGAGGACAAACTTAGATTAGAAGAGAAACATTTTTTCCATCGTGAACTGAACAAATGTCAATTTCACCACATCTCAATATACAGTTTTTATTTAAAATGAAATAAATTATTGCAGTTAAATATTGTCAAAGAAAAATTGTACAAAAGCACGCACATCCCTCTTAACTGGGTGCTCAGCCAAAAAACGCAAAAGGTGCAAATTAAATATTCATCAAAGACGGCAACACCAAAGCTCCAAAAATACAAATTTATTAAACCAAAAAAGCTGACACACGCTTTGTGTCAGAATTTTTAATTTAATAAATTTGTATTTTTCGAGCTTTGGTGTTGCTGCCTTTGATGAATATTAAATATTGTCTAAGACAATTTTTGTATCTAGTTTAACCAATCTTTCTACAATATATATAATAATTATACATTTGTTAATGAAATAAATTAGTTGTATGCTGAATTGTACACCTGTCACACTCGAAAATTGAATATTAATTTGCTTAAGAGTTTATTAGAAAATAATATAATAATAATATAAATAAATAATATAAGTTTGTATATTAAATAGAGCATGAACTTATACATTGTGAATACACTTTTATGTGTGATGAGAACTTTTCAGATATTTTTAAAAAATGTGTGCGGTGATGGAAATGAAATTTCAACAGTTTATTGTGGAAAAAATGAACGTAGCTTCACCAATTAGCTTTAAATTGCTACTAGCCTGACATGTATACAAAACACTTATATTTACCTTAATTTTGTTTGGTTTTTAAAAACATTTTTGAAAGTACAACATGTTTGGAAATGACATAGAATAAATGTATTTCCTTATCAAGCAATATTTACCTTGATTACCTTGATTTTTCTTGATTTTAAGTGTTGTTGATAAAAATTTCAATTCCCTCCATCTTGAACATGTTCTCAGATGCTATTATTCATTTTCATAGAAACCACCTAAAGAATCTTTCACACAAACTTTTTAAAGCGATATTACAGTGTTGTGGTGGAAATGACACTGATACTGTGCGACAGCTATATTTTGTATAAAAAATAATATTAATAACAGTCTCACATTGATAACAATAAAATGTTTAAATTATTTCACTAGTGCTAAGTTAAGATACATTAATAGATACCAGATGAATAATATTTTAAAATGTTATTTTCATTGTTGAAGTTTAAAACTCTGGTGTGCGACAAAGTGAAAACAGTGATTTTGACACCTAAATGGAGAATAAAAAATATGATAAAAATATAACAGAAAGGTAGTAAACTTTTTTAAAGTAGGTTTTTTTTGTTAGTTTGACAAAGAAAGATAATTTGAGCAAAATTATATAAAAAAAAATATTATATTATATAAAATATTTTTTGCATATATGATCAAAGGACATAATAGTGTCCGTATAACTGAAGAATTACCCATAAACATTACATTTGCTATGTATCTGTATAAGTGTGATAAATAAATAGATGGATGGATGAATGGATTTTATTAGCAATAGTAAAAATGTGATTTGGTTGGTAATTTGCTAAATCTATGCAAAAACAATTCATCATTCTTCTTATTTGCTAATATCAGCAGTCAGCAATGGCCTTTTTTATTTTAAGTGTGGTATTATCTCTATATCTATTATTATATTCACAATTTTAATGAACTAAGTATCTAATGAAAATATTTATTTATACTGTATGTTTTCATTCGTTTAAGGTCTTCCAGAGACAGTTGCTCTATACTTTGTCTCGGGTATATGTGCTGGACTGTTCTTCTTGCTGTGTTTGTTCGGCCTCAAATCCACCCTGATACGAGATCTGAAAGACCTGGCCTCTGAGCTGGGAGATGAGCTGAGGTCCTTTGACGACGATGCCTCCTTGCGTTCTACATTTCCCCCCCTCACACGCCCTTATCGCACACCGGACGTGTTCAATCCAGAGATGATAATGACAGTGGTGATGGAAGACAGGAGGGATGAGGACAAACCCGAGATGCCTAATGGAGACATCTGGCCCCATATCAACTCCAGTCCTTATGCCATGCACAAAATCAAAACCACCTCTGCTTGATCTCGATGTTCTACGTATGTTGTTGACCAAATACTAATTGTACTACTTAAGAAGATTGAAATCCAAGATTGGAGTGTCTAGGTCTTATCTGCTTATTTTTCCTCAATATACTATTCATGTATGCATTTTCATATTTATGTATAATACAATCTGTGATTTATTAAATGAGTTTGGATGGAGCTCTGACATCAGATTTATTTGGATGGTGTGTATATTAAACATAATATAGGCCTACATTATATATTTGTTTATCGAGCACATTTAAAGATAGATTGGGTCTAATTTTTATCTAAAACCTGTAAGTATTGTATGTGAACAAATATGGGGTGTACTAATGACAAATAATCCTAGTTTTGTGAGGCGAGTCCCAGTTTTTTGTGCTCAGGTTACAGCATGTTTGTTCAAATCAAGCTTAACATACTGCTGCTGGTTGCCAGAGCAATCGTGAACCTTCACCAAACAGAGGCTGAAGGTTGAGCCAACCTTATTACTTCATTACTTAACCCTCCTGTCGACTTACTGGTAAAAAAAAATATCCGTAAATTGAAATTAAGAGTAAAATAAAACTTTAAGTGTAAAATAAATCTTCATTTAAACGATTTATCTTTGTTAAATTTACAAACTTGATATTTTCTTGAGCCTAAATGGTTTAAACTCTCTCCAAATGCTCACAAAGTCAGAGAGCTTAAAAATACATGCAAGTGATAAACATTCACTATGAAACTTTCATTATGACTTAACTTTAGAATGACTCCAATAAAATGTCCTGAACTGAGCTGCTCCTCAACTATACTATATTTTTATGACTGTTGCTGAATGTTGATTTGAATACATGCTGAAACAATAGTGCAGGCCTAAGAGTTAATGTAATCCATAACACTTTAAAAACAAAACGTACAAAGGGGTGTTTGCCCTGTTTTAATTATATATATATTTAATTAAATTAATAGTTATTAAGTGTGATTTGTTTTTGCAAAAAAAAACAGACACTAATTCAGTACAAATTGTTACATATCGTTATCTTGGTAGTTGTTTTTTTTTTTACAAAAGAGCAGAAAAAAATAAAAAAGGAACTAAAAAACGAAAACAGTAATAAGAGGAAAAGAAAAAAGTGTACAGAAAATTATGATTAACTAAATGCAGACATTCAACAATCACCATAAAATGTTTAGATCTATTTTATACAGTCATTGGTTCAGATTTGTCAATGTTGAAAGTAAATATTTACAATTAAACATTATGAGATAGACAAACAAAATTTTAATTACAATGAAATAAATACATTTAAAATCAATACATCAATAAAAATTCCAGATAGTTTTGAGAAATAGATTCTATGAAATGCTTTAAATTGAATCAGGCTAAGACAAGCACAAATTGTACTAGAACGTATTCTCTGCAGCACACCAAGCCACCATGCTTCTTCTTAAGTGAGATTTCAATGACATTTTGTCCACTGTGCCTGTCAGAAATATCAGTTATCCTTTTAATCTCCTTATTTTGAAATAATAATAAACTTGCTACATGCAGCAGGGCAAGCATCAGTGCAAATATTCGTTATATCCTGTTTGAAATGTACATATAATGAAGCAACAACACTGTATCCGCTTAAAAAGTGGGTGTTTGACGGACGCTTCTCAAAGACAAATATTGATACAGTGCAGTGATCCATAGTGTTGCCAGTTAATATGCGCAAACAACACGCATCCCTGGTCAGCACATCAACACACGGCCAGGAATGTTGCTGCGTTCGGAAGAGCGCAGTGATGATGAGCTCGAAACTCATACATTACCGGTGATGTCTCACCACATATTTTGGTCAACACTAACCAAACACTGCTCGGAAAAACCAATGGTTTATATTATCGCGACAGCACAACCGTGACCGCTCACAAGCTAACCCGTTTGTTTATCCTCTTCAGCACATATAGTAGAATAAACGAATTTATATTTAATGATATTGACGGTGTTATTTGGGTTTTTTAGCTATTTAGTTACCCGGAAGGCCAGCGCTGTTAGGGGCGGAGCCTGACATGAGAAAACACTCGGGCTGAGTTTAGCCTGCTTGCTAGCCGCCTGACGGCTTTAATTCAGCACTCTTGTCAACATTCATGATGGAACCTTCATTTGGGATTTCCGAAAGCCAGTGTATAGCCGTATCCTTTATTTGGAGGCTCGATTGTTGTTTTTAATTTTAACTATGTTTGCAGTTCACTCATTGAAAAGTCATTTAGCCCGGTCTTGTTAGCCTAGCTGTAATGGTAAAAAAATAACACATACTGTTTTGCCAGAGTGTCTGATAGGCTGAACAGTGTTGTAGATGCTATCTGTTATATGTGTTGCTGTTTCCTCTTTGCCATCAAGTTAGTCACACATCTTTATCTCTTACATTTCTTAGGAAAAACTTGAACTGCATTTCGTGACGTTCCTGTATTGTCATTTGATATGATGTGTCTGAAAGGTGCTGTGTGCCATTACAGATGCTACAGAACAGCTGCAGTTGAGAACGTAACACTTACCTAATGGCCTTATGTAAAGTCTAATAAGTTCTTTGATTGTGTGGTGTTGAGGGAGGGAGAGGGATCAGGGAGAGCCATCAGCAGGCGTCACACTTTTCCACCCTGTTCTTCTGCCTCTTGATGTTCAGTTGAATCCTTGACAGTGATTTGTTTTAGACTGTTAGAGGACATGAAATCAGAAGCGGACAGAAAGAACCAAGACTCCTGTCCTTGTTAGAGTGTTCTGGGCAGTTCAAGTGAGTAGACTCTCTGTTTGTATATCTCAGCTTTCCATTCTATTTAATGATTGTGCATGGTTTTGCTGCTATACCTTTGTTAAAACAATACTAGAGTTTAAGAAAAGAGCATTAATGTGTATTGGGCTGATCTGCTCATTCTATCAGGTGGTTGAGTGCCTATTTGTGTTATTACATCGATGCCGTTGTGCTTGTTTTAGGTCTTTTTGGCATGTTGGCATTTAAACCCACAAACACGGGGTCTTCTAATTGTAGGTTATCTAACCAGCATCTCTATATTGAGAATGCAGCTGGCTGATGCTTTTTTCTTCTTCTTCTCCTTCTATGTTTAACATTCTTTATTCCACCAGTTGCAATGCTAGTTTTTCTTTTCAATATGATGATTAAAGACTTGACATCCCATTTTGTTGTTTGTATCTAAAAAAACTGAAGTGATGTTTATACATAACGATAATTTTAAATGCAAATAAATTGTCTAAAAGGTCAAAATAATAATTAAATTGTAATGAAAATACGGAAAGACTATGTGGGACAGGCCAGCAACGACTTTATTGTCTGCGCAAATTAGTGATAGTTAATTTTGATAGGACTTTTAATTTTGATGGGGGTATTTTATGAGGCCTATATACAGGGTTCAATGCTAAGGGTTTTCTACTGGTCCAATCAGGCCAATGATTCAGATTTTTACTCGCCCTGGCAAAATCATCACTGGCCCCACCATAAAAAGAGAAGTTAATAGCTATTTTAAGCCACATATTTTAAATAATGTGTCAAAATAATGTCTGTGAATCAAAAATGTTAGTATTTAAAAAAATTTAATAAACATATAATGAGCAAAATTCAAAGTGTTATGGAAATAAAAAGAGCAGTATGGAAAATGTGCAGGTTTTTTATTGCAGTTCGAATTATTTAACAAAAGGTGGCCAAGTTGTCATACTGACGGCAAATTGTGCGAAACATCACTTTATTTTTTTCGTCGTGTTGTTCCCATGTAAATGTCTGTTTCAAAGACGTTAGAAACAGATTTTTTATTTTACCCTTATAATTTAATGTTGCGGCCATGTTGCTGTCACTTGACTGTACTGATTGTAACCAGGTTATGAAAAAAATTGCATGCTCAAAAAATCAAATCAGATAAGAGGAACCGAAAAGCAATATGATTTTTAAGACATTACAAAGAAGGTATCATTTAAAGACTGCACAACTGATAAAAAATTGCAGGCAAATGAAACTTAAGTAACAAAGTCTACTGTCCCAAGCATCTCTCATGCTGGCCCTGGGCTGTTGAGCAGCAGTTCTTATTGTTGAGCTCTGATATAGAATGAATTTTAATGGGGAGATGTACTTGCTGTTTTTTAGTACTATTAATGTTTGCGTTAAGTGTGTGGTATGATATATGTGTTGTAAATCTGGTACGCTGCAGAACAAATCGCCCCAAAGGGGGAGAATAAAGTTTACAGTAAAATAAAACTTTTCTGAAAAGTCAAATGTAAAACGTGGGAATTAATGTCCTATGTTTACTCTTTGTAATATTTATTTAGGGATTAAAAGCTTGGTTGTACAATGCTCCTCAAACAGGTTCTTTTTTTAAATAATCAAATGATTATTGTTGTAATTCAGTTACAAATGAATGGTTTTAAGGAAATTTCTAAAATAGATGCTGCGGGAATGGCTGTAAATGTGATGCCTTTATCTCCTGAAACAGCCATGATAAAATTTTCAATTATTGCTGTTTTGCATAGTCATAAGGAAGCACAAATATTTACAAGTACATTTTAATCAGATTAAGCATACGGTTTCATTTTTACATAAATATATCTGTTTGAATGACACTGAAACTTTATTTCACATGCATTTAATTTTATTACTGGAGATATTTCAAGAATTAAACACTTGTATTGACTATATTTGCGTATAAAAAAACTCTTTTAGTTAAACTGTTATTGTAATTTACTTTGAACTCTAATGCATTGCCTTGACGTTTTTTGCACTTTCTTTTTTCAACAATGTTCTGTATTACTTTTCTTAACAAAGTTTTATACTTTGAAAGACTTTATACTTAAACTTTATATCTAATTCTATTAGATAATTTAAAAAAAGATAAAAGTGGATTTGTTGTTGCTTGAATAATTTGTAACACAAAAATCACATTTGCTGCATTATCCAATCCTGGCTATGGGTGTTATACTCAACCATGATGATTTGTACTCCTGACAACCCCAGGAATGTGTAAAGCGTACATTATAAATTCCCCTAGGCTGCTGTAGATGTGAAAGGCTCTGTGCACAGTCATATGGTGTTTAGACGATGTGGTTTTTTATTTGTATGTGTGTTAGAGAGCAGTGGTGGTGGATGCCAGCGTGCTGCCCATTATCCTGCATTCCACCTCAGTGTCCTGGAGCCTAATAAGCCTCACATGAGCACACAAACTCTTTAACTGCATTAAGAGTGTACACACTCAGCTTTACTCAAAACTTCGAAATGAGCTGAGTAAAAAGAGCTCACACATGTTTGAAGCCTTGTGTAATGACAAGGAACTTTTAAAAATAAGAATAGAATACACTTGATTTCTTTTATGCATGTCAGAACTCTTGAATTATGGAGACAATATAAAATAAAGTTAATGCTTTTATTCACACAGAAACATTAATCAGTACATATATCAAATACTGGCAGGATCAGCTTTGTTCTGCTTATGTAATATGTGAGAACCAATGAGGTTTGTTCTCATTTCAGCTCATTTAGTCATTTTTGTTATTTGTATGGGCTGAACAATTTGTCATTTGAGCATCAATATTTCAGGATTAGATAATAATTAAATATTAAAATAAAAAAATATATATATTTTTTTTATTATTGCCTAAAATTATTTTTACAATGATGACTGTGTTATTTTACATTTGATTGTTTAGTTTTTGTATTTGTATTATGGCTGCACAATATATCGTTTCAGCATCGATATCGCAATTTGAATCCCAATTACTTGTCTTTAAGCAGTTTTTTTGGATGCACAAACTTTTAATCTAGTTACTGAAATCTCATGATTCCTAAAAATTTTTACCATTTTACAAATTAATGTTAGTGACAAAATGGTCAATTAAGTTACAATCTTTGTATGGAGTAAAATGTATCCTGACAGACTATAATAAGAGTGCTTGAAGCAATAAATATTGAGCTGCATTGTCATTGTTAATGTGGCAGCAAGTACCACAGTTTAAACTCAGGAAGTTAGATAATATTTTTATTATGGGAGGATTACAACCATCACTTCTACATCAGGCTACATACAATTATTTATTTGATGATGGCTGTATTATTTTACGTTTGATTGTTCAGTTTTTGTATTTTAATTTGGATCTGCACAGTATATCGTTTAAGCATCGATATAGCAATGTGCACTTAGGCAATAGTCACATCGCAAGATAAAACAATGTTGAGTCTGAATTAATGTTGACAAGGAGCTACAGAATTGTATTTAATGTATTTAAAAGGAAATTATTAGATTTATGCAAAAAAAAGGCTTTTCTTACTTAGAATTGTTGCATGTTTTCTAGTCCAAACAGTTATTTGTAGTTTTACATTCGTTTTTTTAGTTATTTTTACTAGAAACAAAGCAAAGAAAAGTAAGAAAAGCATTTTTTTGCAGTTTTATTATTTATTTTTTGTACTTAACTACTTTTAGGCACCCCAGAAAACCATCAAATGTTCAAACAATCTTGTGAAACTATTCATATCGCAATATTTATCACAGTAACACAAAATATCACAATATCAGATTTTCCCCAAATCATGCAGCCGTATTTTGAATACTGTTAAACTCTCCAGAAAACCATAAAGCGCTGTCTATTTCACTTTTATTTTTGCTCTGCCGTATTTTTATATGTTTGTAATTTATTATATTTTATGCAGATGCACTGCATAGAAAAAGACTTGATCTTGGGCAAAGCGATATGGCCTAAAATTAAAATACAGATTACTGCATTAAAATACAGATTTGCGGCTGCAAAGTGGCAGCAGAAGTATAAACCAGTCTCAGCCTAACAGCAGGGTCAGGTGACTCCACATGTGGTAGGGAAAGTAATTGGAAAAAATCATCCTGGAAAGTTTAGATTGATTATAGGTTCTAAATGTTGATTTCGATTACTTTTTCGATTAATCGGTTTGATTCTTCCCACGTGTCCATCTAAATCAATTAATTAACTCCTTCCAAATCGAGCTATTCAAATCATCTGGTGTATTTATAGTATAATTGATTCACAATGTCACATTTTTCCAATATGGTGCATCCCTAGTATGTGTATTTATTTATATAATTTAAAAGTCTGAATTACTTCTTTTGTTTTGAAGCATTTGTGCCTTTCAGAAGACTTGAGTTAAATCAATTGGTTCATTCTTACGAAGTACTTGGAGTGCCCATGTTTTGGATGTGCAGACTTTTAATCAAGATACTGAAATCTCATTATTCTTAAAAATATCCGCATTTTATAAAGTAGTAAAAGTCTTATTGTGTAGGGGAAAATGGCACACTAAGTTGAAATCTTTCTATGGCGCATTTAAGATATACACTGAAAGACTGTAATGAGATCTTGAACAAAAAAATAACAAGGGAGCTGCATTGTCATTGTTAATGTTGCAGCAAGAACCACAGTTTAACCTCAGGAAGTTGGAAGATATTTTTAGCATGGGAAGATTATAACCATCACCACTACATCAGGCTGTTATTTGTATTGATTGAATGCGAGATCGCTTAGTAAGTCTGGGCCAAATTTCCCTTGTTCATGAGTGCTGCGTTTCCTGGCAACAGCATCCATTACAGCAATTATCGTCTTCTGAGGCTGAGGGAGAAAAGAGAGGGGCTCACTGACAGCACAGAGGGGTTCTAGTCTTGCCTACATGCGTTTTACATAGCACACTTGGGCAGCGAAATCTGAAGGTTTTTCCAATAATCCACCGTAATTGAATTTCCCATGGAGTGAAATGGAGGTATGACCATGTTGAGAGGAACATGATGCCCTGGAGTTGGCACTGTTATTGTCAGAGAGTGAAATATGGTCTGCAATTAGCCTTCCAATATGCATTTAGCCTGCTGCATTTTTTCACCATCTGCATTCTGAAGCCGCATGTTTGATAAGATCAGATTTTGCCGGACTGCAGTGGAAATATGAGCGAAAAAACTACCATTCAAAATTTGTGGAAGTTTTTATAGATTTTTTGTAAAGAAGTTTTCACCAAGGGTGAATTTTTAAAATAAAAATAAAGTATTCGAATTAATAATATCAGTTGTCTATGTTTATGTGTGTATATATATATATGTGTGTGTGTGTGTGTGTGTGTGTGTGTGTGTGTGTGTGTATGTTTTAAAAAATAATTTACTTTTTAAATGACTACAGGTTTTCAGTAAATGATTTGGTACTTTGAATTTTTAAAAATAAAAATAAAGTATTCGAATTAATAATATCAGTTGTCTATGTTTATGTGTATATATATATATATATATTTATATATATATATATATACATGTATATATATATATATATATATTTATGTATATGTGTGTGTGTGTGTGTGTGTGTGTATGTTTTAAAAAATAATTTACTTTTTAAATGACAACAGGTTTTCAGTAAATGATTTGGTACTTTTTTAACTTTCAGTGCAGCAGCATGTTCTTTTTGAAAAGTAGTCTAAATATTCACGATACTAATTAAAAGTATTATTCTGTATTACAATTAATAAACTCAAACCACTCCCAAACATTTATTTATAGCAGAATACTTAAACGGATTGTCCACTATGATATCATATTTTAAACTTTGGTTGATGTGTAATGTAGCTGTGTGAACATAAACAACATCTTTGAATCGAAGACACTTAAAGTTCAATGCAAAGGGAGACATTGGCTCTTACAGAGTTAGCTTAGCGAAGTTTACAGCGAACAAAGTTTGTGGACTACAAAAAATGCATCCAGGTTAGAATCATAGCTCATTATGTTTGCTGACCAATCAGATCCTCTTGAGGGCGGGCTTTTCAAAGGAACTAAGTAATATGACAGTCGTTTTCATGTTAGCTGAGTAGCTGTATAAAATCGAAGTAAGATGTGAAAAAATGATGTGATATTTCTACAGGTGAAGCACGAGCACACATTACTATGCACCCCAATAACACAGCAAAGCCTTAAAAATACACCATGGACAACCTTTCTAAAGGAAGTTTTATGAAACGCGTCATGTACTCCTGTATGGCTTTTCATGAATGGATCTTTTGTTTTTAGGTTGGATATCCTTTCAAATCCTGATGCAATTGTATTAAGCCCGGTGTCCCAGCTGTCCATCCCCATCAATAACCATTTTCGGATCATTCGAGGTAAGCTGCAATGGCTATTTATTCAATAGTAACCTCCAGAAGGACTTTTATAATGATGATGTAAATGCATCTGCTCTTTTCTGACTCTTAATAGTTTTATTTTGTTCCTGTACAAGCTCACCTTTGGTCTCTGTCAGTGAGGCTAAGCACTGTGTTTGAATGATAAAAATTCTGTCCCTTGTTCAAATATTTGCGCAAAACATTTATCACTGTTAGGTAGAAGACTGTGTGTTATATTTGCTGTTACAGTCCTCTGGAAATCTGTTTCTGACTTGCTTTAATGTTCCATTTTAGAGGCAGAAGAAGCTCTTCTCATTGACATTGACTCTATTAGCAGTAAGTTTTATTTATATATATATATATATTTTTTATAAGTGGTTCTGCATTTTTGTTGTGTATTTGATTTCTTGGTTTACATTAAATACTATATGTAGTGTGTTTGGAAGATTATATAACCATTGAAATTAAAACCAAGTGTGTTTCTAATAATTATTTCATCATATTTAGATGAGTCATGCAGTTGAATAATATCATGATTTAGTTCATCATCTGGTCATAAGCAGCTTATTGTATAAGCATTCAGCCTAAGCAGCTTATTGCTACTCTTATCCATTCAATTTCATTTTTAGAACTTGTATGAAATGCTAATACTGTAGCTTGCATTGTTTTTGTGCAGAGGTTTTCCAATGCATTCTGCCTTAATCAATTGAGGGCTCACTGAATAATCAAATGTATAATTGTAATGTTTAAATGTAAGAATGTGACACTGTTTCTCAACAGAGACAGTACGAATACGTCTGCGAGGTGAACGAACACCGGAGCTTCTGCTTGAGCTTCAGGATGACGGGCAAACGCAGTCTTTTCTTGAGCATGTGACGAAGGCCAAACAGCAAGGTGATACACCTTATTTTCCCTGCACAGGATGCAGCCGCAAACATCAAGCCACATTCCTTATTTATTAACTACTCTAATCATTTATTTACCTGGGTAACCAACACCCACATTTATAGCTTTGTCAGTAATGAATGCTTCCCTGGAAGAATTTAACCTCAAAGCCAGACTGACGGTTTGAGAGTTATACATTTATGGTGTTGGTTTACTTGAGTTTACAATGATAGATCCACAATCAAAGCTTAGTCTCCCTGCTGTAGGAGTTCTCCAGTTTGTTGCCACTGAATGTAGCCTTAGGTTGTCCCTTATGTTGCCTATTGCCTTAGGCTCCCTTTTATATATTTGTCTGAAGTCTAGTCGATTAAAGATCAGGGCAATTGTAAAAATAGTATATTATGAAATTTTCTCATCTGGTTTATTTTGACAGATTTTTTTTTTTTTAAAGCAGAAATAGAACTCTGGATATTTATACTCTGATTGAAGCCCAAAGTATGATTGTGCATCGACATAATTGTGTGACGCATAAACACTAGAAAATCCAATTTCAATGGCTTTTCTTTTTTCTTCAAAGGTTAAAAGTCATGAAGTCTGCTTATTTAAAACTTGTGGGTTTTTTTACCGTATTTGCTCATGCAGTTTTGTCCATGTTTTTTTCCACTGTGAAGCATCAGCCTGGTGATGTGTTGACCCCCTGTGGAAAAAAAAAATGTAAAATAGGATATATAAAGCACATTAAGTATGCACGTAATGTTCACTCACTTGCACTGTTTACATACCCTACCTTATGCTAAAAAACTGAAGCATATTTAAGACCAGAGTGCGAATTACAGGGGGGTTTGGGATGGATTGATCCCCCTAATTAACGCTTGATCCCCCCTGAAGGATGTCGAAACAAGATGTAGTTTTGTAGTTTAACCTACAGTAACATCTGAAATGGCTCATCAGAGAATATTGTAACATACCTGCCAACACTCCCGTTTTTCTCATGATTCTCAAGTGTTTCAGATTCATCTCCTGCCACCCTCCCGTTTTGTTATTTCTCCCGGAAAACTCCCATATCTTCATCCAAACTTCCCCGCCAAGGATAGAAAAGATACCTCAGCTTTTTTGTACCTTCTGTGAAACCCCCTCGTCACCAACTTTGGTATAGGATATAATCGCAGCGACTGCTTAAAACACGCTTCATAGTACAGTTACTAACACCAACAGTGTTATTCAGACACCTCAACCTCGAACCTAACCCCCTCGTCTCCCGGATTTTCAGGGACAAATGTTGGCAGGTATGCTTTAAGTCAGATTACAAACTTAAATGCGTTTTATTAATAAACTAGATGCAACTAAAAATAAATACATAAACGACTGAAGCATGTATTACACAAACTAACCAAAACAGTTGACCCCCCCTGATCATCAATTTATAATTCACACACTGCTTAAGACTTTAGGTGTACAGATTTGGCTCATCAAAAATGTAATAATGCTGGAACAGACATTTTCATGTACTGTTAACTCTAATAAATTCTTGCTGGCCATACCAACTAACTGTCATTGAGTTTAAAAGCATGTTTTATCTGTTAAATGCATATAAAAGGCTCTTCTCAATTGGTTTAATGCATCAAGTCAGATCTGAAACATTAATGTTGAATTGGTCCACCTTTAGCTGAGAGGAGTTCACTGCCCAGGAAGATGGAGCCAGTTGTACCTGCTCCAGTTAAAGACTGTGTTCCAGTTCCACCTCAGAGAGGAACCTCCAAATCCTTCTCAAACAACATCAACAACAGCACTTTAGCAAATCCCTCAAACACAGGTATAAAAATGGCATACATAATGCAAGAACATTACAATATTTGCATTGGTTTACAGGGACATACATATATCACAGTAGTTGCTTGTGGAAACTCAGTGACCCTTTCTGTACCTGCAGATTCCACCCGCTCGCTTGCCACAGATTTTGGCTTTGAAGAAAACTTTAACCACGTTTTAAAAGTGGAAGAGAAGAAGAACAAGCAGAATCGTTTAGTTGCACAACGAGAGCCACCACCTCCACCAATTCCCCCTCTTCCTCCTAGGAAAGGCACAAATACATCATTGACAGGCCCAGCTACCAAAGAAAGGCCACCATCTGTACAAAATGCCACACCTGTCAGAAATGAGTAAGTGCTACTGGTCTTAAATGCAGAAACTTATGGATTTTCAGAAACTGTTTTTAAAATGTTGTGCTCCTTGTCATTGCAGATTTCAGTCTGTAGACCGATCTGTTTCCTGGTCTGAAAGCCCGTCCAACTCCACCATAAGACAGGCCATGATGAGCAGCCATGCAGGGTCAAGAGAAGGTTTGCTCAAGTATCGCCTCAGCAAGAAAGAGAAAGAATATGTGGACATTAAGAACTTTAAGTGAGTGTCAGTTTTCCATGTGCATTTTGTCAGTAAAGTCAGCTCTTGTAAACATCCAGCATATGGAGTTGAAGCAGCATTTACTACACAGAGTTGTTTTTTTTGACTAAGGATGCAAAATAGCATTTAAAGTTGAAATCTGCATATCTGGATGAAAATGATATTGAAATAATCGCTCTGTGATAATAGCAGCAGTTTGCATCGCTTGTCAGTGAACTACGGCTCTGTGTAGTTATTGCTGCAAATGAAAACACCACGTGACAGTGTTTCTACCTCCAATTGATTTCATAAATTCAGTTAAGTGTTTAAACTAAAATTTTCCTGTTTGTTGGTCATGTTGAATCAATGAAAGTATTTAAATTCTATGTTTATAGTCAAATGCTATGAAGTTTTACTGGATTTCTTTTTTTTGTGGGCCCTCTGGCCTTTGGAGCAGATTTACTACTGATGATAGAACTTTTAGGATTATCACCCAGGTCTACTGTAAACTTAACATCAGTGATTTTGTTTTGACCGCTTTAAGGTGATTGATTAAATCCCTCTATTTGACAGGTTCTTCGTAGGCACGTGGAATGTAAATGGTCAGTCCCCTGACAGCAGTCTTGGGCCCTGGCTCAGTTCTGACCCAGACCCTCCTGACGTCTATGCACTAGGGTGAGTGTCACATCATGAACTGAGAACACTGTTATACCCAGAATTCCATGCGAATTGTGTCATCTTTAAATAGGAAATTGTTATTATTTGCAATTTTGTAGCATTTTTACTTGCCCTCCACTTTTTTCCAAACTTACAGAAGTTTATTTTCTACTGTTAAACAGAAAAAAATACTGCTGTATGTATATGTAAGAAAAAAAACATGCCATCATTACATTCATACATACATATCACTATGCACATACATAATTACCTATATATACATCACATAAACTTTAGAAGTAAAATAAAGAAAAGAAAAAAATAAGAAGAAAAAGGGAAAAGAAAAAAGTAACAACAAAAGTAAAAAAGTATAAAATTAACACGTTTAACAAGCCAAACATATGAGATTGTTTTATATCTTCCAATTAAAATTCACTTAAATGTGGTTGTCTTTATATTGCCTATATATCAACCATTTTTTTTCCAACCCTTCCTGAAAATATCTGTTTTCATCCTCAACATAAATGTCAGTTCTTCCATTATGTTATCAAAAAGTTGGTTGTTCGTTATGAGTTTCATTGTAGTTTTTACTACAATAGAAGTTATTGGGTAACATCAGCTGTCTGGTTACAATAATTCTTGTAAGCATAAGTTATTTTGTGTTCAGCAGAAGAAGGAAATCATACAGGTTTGGAACAAGTGAATGGTAAATGATGACAGAATTTGTATTTCATCCTTGTAATGTATTTTATTCATAATTAGGGATGCACCAATATGTATTTTTGACCCAATTTCTTTAGATTTGGAGGCAGATAACCGATATATATATGATCATTATCTACAGACCTCCAAAATATTCTCCAGCTTTTATTGAGGATTTTACAGAGCTGTTATCAATTGTAACCTCTGAATTTGATTATTTTAGTATTGCTGGGGATTTTAATATTCACATTGATAATCCAGAAATCAATGCTGTAAAAGAACTGATGACTGTTTTTAACACTTTTGATCTGACTCAGCATGTTCAAGGACCCACACACAATCGTGGACACACTCTTGATCTACTTATAACTAAGGGTTTACACATTTCATCGACTGTTGTTAAGGATGTGGCACTATCTGATCATTTCTGTATCTTTTTTGATATATTGATCACTCCAGCTATTAAAGACAGATCTGTCTCTGTCAGAAAGAGATGCATAAATGAGAACACCAGTGAGCAGTTTATGAAGGCCATATCGCTAGCACCAAGTATATCTGCAGATTCTGTTGATTCTCTCCTTGATTTGTTCAACTTTAAAATTGAGAATGTCATAAATGACATCGCTCCTGTTAAAGTCAAGAAGCTGACTGGCAGGCAAAAGGGATCTTGGACAAGGTCACCGAGAGTACAAATGATGAAAAGACAGTGCAGAAAAGCTGAGCGTATGTGGAGAAAGACGAAACTAGTAGTCCATTATAATATCTATAAAGACAGTCTTCATGCCTTTAATATGGAACTAAACACTGCTAGACAGACTTTCTTTTCAAGCCTTATAAACAGCAACTTAAATAATACTCGCACACTCTTTGCAACGATAGAGAGACTCACAAACCCCCCCAGTCGGATTCCAAGTGAGCTACTCTCTGAAAGCAAATGTAATGAGTTTGCTCATTTCTTCACTGATAAGATTAATAATATCAGAAAGGCAATCAGCTCATCCAATCAGTCAAGTTGTGTCGATATCAAACAAGCTCAACCACAACTTGAGAAGTCAGACATTATGTCTGATTTCATGGCAATTAACGGCAAAATCTTAGAAGAAATTATGCAAGTTATGAAAACATCAACCTGCAGTCTTGACACGCTCCCCACATCATTCTTCAAATCGGTGTTTACCTGTTTAGAAATGGATCTTCTAAAAGTGGTAAATGCTTCACTTCTCTCAGGGATTTTTCCAACCTCACTTAAAACTGCAGTTGTTAAACCCCTCTTGAAGAAGAGCAACCTGGATAACACCCTATTGAGCAATTACAGGCCAATCTCAAATCTCCCTTTCATTGGTAAAATCATTGAAAAAGTTGTTTTTAACCAGGTTAACAAGTTCTTAAACTTCAGGGGGTGTTTAGACAATTTTCAATCTGGTTTCAGAGCACATCACAGTACAGAGAGCGCTCTTATAAAGATAATCAATGATATACGCCTAAATACAGATTCAGGTAAAATAACAGTGCTGGTATTGTTGGATCTCAGTGCTGCATTTGACACTGTCGATCACAGCATACTTCTGGATAGGCTGGAAAACTGGGTTGGGCTGTCTGGCACGGTCCTCAAATGGTTTAGATCTTATCTTGAAGGTAGAGGTTACCATGTCAGTATAGGTGACCATAGGTCGAGGTGGACACCCATGACGTGTGGAGTCCCACAAGGCTCGATTCTGGCTCCTCTCCTGTTCAACCTTTACATGCTCCCTCTGAGCCAAATAATGAGAAAGAACCAAATCTCCTACCACAGCTATGCTGATGACACTCAGATCTACCTAGCCTTACTGCCTAATGACTACAGCCCCATTGACACCCTCTGCCAATGCATTGATGAAATGAGCAATTGGATGTGCCAAAACTTTCTTCAGTTAAACAAAGAGAAAACTGAAATGATTGTGTTTGGGAACAGAGATAAGGTTCTCAAAGTAAATGCGTACCTTGGCACTAAAGGTCAAACGACAAAAAATAAGGTCAAGAATCTTGGTGTGACTCTTGAGTCAGATCTGAGTTTCAACAGTCATGTCAAAGCAGTCAGTAAATCAGCATACTATCATCTCAAAAATATTGCAAGAATCAGATGCTTTGTTTCTAGTGAAGATTTAGAAAAACTTGTTTATGCTTTTATCAGCAGCAGGGTGGATTACTGTAATGGACTCCTCACTGGTCTTCCTAAAAAGACAGTCAGACAGTTAAAGCTCATCCAGAATGCTGCAGCCAGAATTCTAACAAGAACCAGAAAATCAGAACACATCACACCTGTCCTCAGGTCTTTACACTGGCTGCCAGTTACATTCAGAATAGATTTTAAAGTATTATTACTGGTCTATAAATCACTAAATGGCCTAGGACCTAAATACATTACAGATATGCTCACGGAATACAAACCTAACAGATCACTCAGATCATTAGGATCATATAAACTAGAAGTTCCAAGAGTTCAGTCAAAGCAGGGTGAATCGGCTTTTAGCCACTATGCCCCTCGCTGCTGTAATCAGCTTTCAGAAATGATCAGATGTGCTCCAACATTAGGCACATTCAAATCAAGACTGAAAACACATCTGTTTAGCTGTGCCTTTACTGAATGAGCACTGTGCTGCATCCGACAGATTGCACTATCATGTTTTTCTCTTCTTCTTCATTCTTTTATATCACATTTTACCTGTTTTTATGTTTTAAGTTCGACCCCCGCATGCACAAGGCAGGCAGTTCTGTACAATTACATAATCTATCGGCTTTAAGATATCGGCCTAATTTTGAAATAGGATCGATAACAATATCATTAAAAATAGAATTTATTGGCTTATAATGATGTCGTCGCCGATATATTGTGCATCCCCTTTCATAATAAATAATTGTGCGCTATACATTGTGTATTGTAAGTTTGTCTGTTATAGTGCTTTATTCAGCTTATTCTGTCATTTGTCAGATTTCAGGAGCTGGACCTGAGCACAGAGGCGTTTTTCTATATGGACTCATCCAAAGAACAGTTATGGGTTGATGCAGTAGAGAGAGGCCTCCATCAAAAAGCCAGATACATTCAGGTGATCAGTGAATACCAACTGAAATGTCCTGCTTGTAATCATTTGGTGGCCAAAGAAAGTGGTAAACATTTGCTGAACACCCTGCATGCTGTCTTCAGGTTCGTATTATCCGCCTAGTGGGCATGATGTTGGTGGTGTATATCAAAAAGGAGCACAAAGATCAAATTCGAGAGATCGCTTCTGAGTCTGTGGGAACTGGCCTCATGAATAAAATGGTATGTTTAGATTTGTTACAATAGGAAGTGGTTTGTTAAGAGGAAGTCTCCATTGTTATATTTGTATTAGATATGATATAATTTATGTTATCGCTTACACAATTGAGATGAAATGACCACAAATGAAAAAATACATGCCTTAAATGAGTGTATCAGTGTCAGTTACCTGATCAGATTAACCCACATTTATTACTCTGTGACTATAGGGGAACAAGGGAGGAGTGGCAGTGCGCTTTGTGTTTCACAATACCAGCTTCTGCTTCGTAAACTCTCACTTGGCAGCTCATGTGGATGACTTTGAGCGGCGAAACCAGGACTACAAAGACATCTGTGCACGCATGAGTTTCCACCTGCTGGAATACCCGCCTGTCAGTATAGTGAAACATGAGTGAGTGTCAAGATTCCAGTCATTCATCGGTTGCTCATTATATGAGGACAAAACTTTTAATGGACTTAAAATAAATTTGTTAAATGCTTACACTTTCTCCTCCAAGTGTGGTGATTTGGCTTGGAGATCTCAACTACAGGCTATGCTTGCCTGATGCTGGGGAGGTAAAAAGGCTTATTGCTGAAAAAGAGCTACGGAGACTACAGGAATATGACCAGGTGAGACCATTTATGTTCTCAGGCATATAACTTTTGCATGTTTTTTTTTCTCGTGTTTATTGCTTTATAGTATAAGTCTAAGGTGTTTATTTTTCTTTTTACAAAATATGGTATTAATATTTAAAATTAAACCGTTTTGTTTTAGTTATGCACCCAACTGTATTGATCTGTTATTATTTGTTATTATTTGTTGCTTCATCTTTTTCTTATGTGTGTATATTTGGCTGTTATCTAAAGGGATAGTTCATTCATAAAACAGCAAATTCTCAACATCCATACATGTTTGAGTTTCTTCTGTTGAACACAAGGAAGATATTTTGAAAAATGTTGGAAAAGCGGCAGCATGGGGGCACAGTGGTTAGCACGATTGCCTCACAGCAAGAAGGTTGCTGGTCGAGCCCTGGCTGGATCAGATGGCATTTATGAGTGAAGTTTGCAATTCCCCCCCCCGTGTTGCAAGGGTTTCCTCCGGGTCCTCTGGTTTCCCCCACAGTCCAAAGACATGCAGTAAAGTTGAATTGAATAAGTTATATTGGCCAGATTGAATGAATGCAAGAGTGTATGGGTGTTTCCCAGTGTTGGGTTGCAGCTAGAAGGGCATCCACTGTGTAAACCATATGCTGGTAAGGTTGGCAATTCATTTCACAATGACGACCCCTGAATAATAAAAGGATTAAGCCAAAAAGAAAATGAACGAATGACTGAATGAATGTTGGAAAGCATCCATCAATAGTATTTGAACAATTCGTTGTTCCAACTATGGATGTCAATGGCTACTGGTTTGATATTCTTCATGATATCTTATAGTGTTCAACAGAAGAAAGAAATTCATGAAGGATTGGATCCACTATGGGTAAATGGAAGGGATGTGAACCTACACTGGTCTCATGGTTCGGTTCAGTTATGATAAAATCATGCCATGGATTCAATATCTCGGTGCATTGACGATGCTTTCCAAAAGCAATTGAATATTTTACTTAGCAACACAATAATTCTTGTATTATTTTATAATTTAGAAGCATTATTTTGTTTCAATATTTGTTATACAATTTTGTTTTTTAATACAAGCAGTCAGATATTTATGCCTTTAATTTTACCTTCTGAAAAAAAAACATGTATCTAACAAAACTCTAGTACATACACAGAACAACATGAGGATTTATAGCAAATAAACAAATGCAAATATTATTACGCTTGCTTTTTGAGCCTTGTTGAGGGATTTCTTAAACGCCTATGATTTATCATCCGCTAAACAGAAAAGGCTGTGATTGACTCTGGATCCACAAGTAACGTTACTGCTGTAACAGCCAAGAGAGGAGACAAAACGTTGCCTGTACAGATATCTGCTTTTTAAGTAGTTGGAGCGTTATAACTACACGCGGTCTCCTCCCTTGCCATAGCAAGGTACCGCCATATAACGTATATGTGATAAATGATGTCAGTGCAGAATAACCGGTTACGATTATTACTGAACCGATACCGAATTGTTTGCGTCTGCATCGTGGTGCATTGAAAAAAAAACAACAATTAATTATGACACCCCTATTAAATGGTGAGGAATTATCCCTTTCAGTGATAGCCATATATAGACTGACTTCTATTTTTGTTAAAAGCACATTTAATAGAATCTTTGACTTTCTTTTTTTTTTATTGTCCACAAGTTGATATTTATCTTTGGCTTCACCACATAATTGCATCAGCATTCACATCACATAGATCACAAAAAGCACAAATACTTTCAACATCATTTTATAAATCACATTTAAAACTCAATTAACACTATTTATACTATTTAACCCAGTATTAAAATTCTAATGGCAGTTGGCACACATTTCTTTACTTGAGGTTGCCTAAAGCTTCTTTTTGATGGCAAAATCTTTGTCTTCGTATTGGCAGCTGAACCTCCAGAGAAAGACTAAACGTGTCTTCACCGATTTCATGGAAGGGGAGATCAATTTCATCCCAACTTACAAATATGACGCTAAATCAGATCGGTGGGACTCAAGGTAAAGTTCCTGAGACTGAACACTGTTTAATGATCACTTCATGGTAGAAAGCTCTTAAAATGAAGTAAATGATGCAAAACTTGCAAAGAAGCCCTCATTTTAAACAATGGTTGCAAGAACTCTTTCATTGTTACGTATATAGTCAGGGAAAAACCGGAAAAGTTTTTCAAAATATGGAATCCCTTTGTAGGATTTCTGAAAGAAGCTGATACAAATCTTTTCTCTGTATAACTTGTATCTTGTATCATCTGCTATTGATGTACTGTTATTCTATTTTGTACCTTTTATATTGTTAGTATATGTTCATGCTTTTATTAACGTATATAATTGTATTTTTTTGTTATTATTATTTATTTTACATTTCTTGTATGTTTGGTTTTGATTTCTTTAGAACATATCAGAAGTTCGAAAAGCATTAAAGAGCCCCTTTTATGCATTAAAAAAACATTGTATTTTGGTGTTGGGGGTCTCCAACAACAGGCTGATATGCATGCAAAGTCAAAAAACATTTTAGTTGTCCTATAATATGCATTTATTTTTACCTAACATACTAACGACTCCCATATGATTCATTCTCTAATTCATTTGTTGCCAAACCCCTCCTTGATTAGCACGATGCTAATCTTCGCTGATTGGTCAGATGACCCAGTCTATTGCGATTAGTCGACTCCGTTCGGCTTGAGACAGAGGGAAATGCCCAGCACAGCTTATAAACAAGTAGTCAGAGTGCAGAGTGTATGTGTGAGCCCAATGTAGGAGTGCATTAAAGCAATTGAGTTAAACACCAGCATATTGCTCTATTCTTAACCACAACACGCATTCAGTATTAATCCACAAAGTGGCAAAAGCTGAAATATTTTGAACTTGGCAGCACACGTGTGTAGGAACAGCTGATGGTGGCCATAGCAACGACAAATGGAAGTAGATTGCGAGCTCACAAACAAGTTTTAATCCATAAACATAACGGCACACGTCACAATTTCAACATGGTTTTAGATGCAATATGAGAATATAAAGTGTTAACCAGACACAGTACAAGCGGTTACAAGTAACAAAACACAATTAAATGCATAATTTGCAAGCTAGAGAAAGCAAGGAGGCAGCAGTTTTAATACTAGTTACTTACACTTGTAAAATGGAGGAAGAAACTGAACCATGAACTGTGTATTGTAAAGTTTCTGTCAGGCTCCGACAAAGATCCATACATCAGTAGTCATTTCTGGTCCTTCCTTTAACAAACGGCCTATAAATCCCCCGTTGTAAACATGCAGATTACTGAAGCACTCGTCTGAAAAATGAGAGGAACACAGCACAAGGCTGGGGCTATAATGCTAAGGTATTTTTTCTTCACAACCTCATCTTTGGGTAGAGAAAGTAACGAAAAATTTCCCTCACACTTCAGAGAACAGCTTCTTCGTGGCATGATTCAACCGGGATCTGCTATATTGTATAGTGTATATAGCTATAGTCCTCAGTTTATTTCTACAATGTTTGTGGATGGGGCCAGGGATTTCAACTTCCCCAGGTCTGCTCGTGCAACAAATGGGCGGGGCTTGAGTTCCATATCGATGTCACGCGGACACGGCTAAAGACTCATTCGAACCACTATGAGTCGACTCTATAATAGATGAATCGATTTTTTTAAACAAAGTGCACTTTTAGATTTAAGCTTCAGCTGGATATTTCTGTTCACTGCTGAGTTACACACTGCATGGAAGGTCGTTTTCAAAAACCCATAATAGGGGCTCTTTAAAGACAGTGTTTAAAAAAAAAAATTAAATGAATGTGGTGTATTTACAGTGGGAAGTGTCGGATTCCTGCTTGGTGCGACCGTATCCTATGGAGGGGAAGCAACGTGAAGCAGCTTCACTACCGCAGTCACATGGAGCTGAAGACCAGTGACCACAAACCTGTCAGCTCTGTCTTTAGTATCGGGGTGAGGTTTACTCCTTTCATCATCCTCCAATAATAGCATCGAGAGCGTCACATTGAATTTATGTGTGTGCTGCAGGTGAAGATGGTGATTGAGCAACGCTACAAAAAGATTTTCGAAGAGATTGTGCGGGACATGGACAGGATGGAAAATGACTTTCTGCCCTCTTTGTCCCTAACCCGACGGGAGGTGAGTAATGACAGAGAGCCAGACAGGGCAGTCTATCCTCAGACAAACTCACTCTGCATCGATCCACTGGCCTGCCTCCATTCTTTCTGAGGTCCCACTATATATTAGAGGAGGATCAATAATGTTTGCAGCATTTTAGCATTTCGCTGAACTGTGAGTGTGTTATGGGCTAATCATGTGTGCCATAATTGCTTTCAGAGTGGATGCATTAGGACAGTTTGCTTACAAATGGAAAAGATGGTTCAAATAAACTCATCACTTGGACTCTATAAGTTGGAGGATTTGAATGCAGAAATGAACACTTTGGCAGAGATGTATTCAATTGATCAAAAGTGACAGTATAGACATTTATAATGTAAAAAATTGACTGAATTTTAAGCTTTCTGTTCATAAAAGAGTTATTATTAACAATTTACATAGACTATTAAAGGGACAGTTCACCCAAAAATGAAAAATAACTCACTATTTATCAAGTATTTTTAAGTGAGTTTTGTTATTCTGTTGAACACAAATGAATACTTTGGAAGAATTCTGAAATCCTGTAACCATTGGCTTCATTTGCAGGAAACAAATGCTATGTATATTAAGGGTTACAGGTTTCCAACAATTTTTAAAGTATCTTTTTTTGTGTGTTCAACAGAAAAAAGAAACCCATAAAGGTTTGAAAATCAAAAGATGAATAAATTAGGACAATTTGCGTTTTTGTGTTATTAATTATATCTTAAATCCACATTATTCACTTCCAAAAGAAGACTATGTACGGTGCAGTGAAGTTTTGGATACTAAAAATATTTATGTGAAATGGCGAAAAAAAGAGTTTTGATATGCTTTTAAACACAAAAGTAGACATTTTGAAGAATGCTGGAAACCTGTAACCATTATACTTCATTAGGAAAACCAAATGCTATGTAAATGAATCGTTACAGGTTTACAACATTTTTCAAAGTATCTTTTTTGTGTTCAACAGAAGAAAGAAACTCATAAAGGTTTGAAAATCAAAGGGTGAGTAAATGACAATTAAATTTTTGTGTAAATAATTACGTTTTAAATCCACATTATTCCGTTCTAAAAGAAGACCACAGGATTTAGCTGGAACCTGCAAAAATAAGATGCTGTGAAGTTTTGGATACTGAAAATATTTATGTGAAATGGTGAAAAGAGTTTTGATATACTGTTGAACACAAATGAAGACTTTTTAAAGAATACTGAAAACCTGTAACCATTGACTTCATCAGCAGGAAAAAAAAACAAATGCTATGTAAATGAATGGATACAGGTTTCCAACATTTTTCAAAAATCTTTTTTTGTATTCAACAGAAGAAAGAAACTCATAACGGTTTGAAAATAAAATGGTGAGTAAATGATGACAATTTAATCTTTGGGGTAATTAAATATGCATTTTTCTGTTCCAAAAGAAGACCACAGGAATTAACTGGAACCTGCAAAAATATTATGCATTTGGATAGTTTTGGATACTGAAAATATTTATCTGAAATGGCAAAAATAAGTTTTGATATTCTGTTGAACACAATAGAAGATATTTTGAAGAATGCTGAAAACCTGTAATCATTGACTTTATCGGTAGGAAAACCCAGTGCTATGTCAATGAATTGTTGCAGGTTTCCAACTTTTTTCATTTCAATATATTTTTCCGTGTCCAACAGAAGAAGAAAAAATAAAGGTTTGAAAATCAAAGGGTGAGTAAAGGGAGACAATTTTTATTTTTGGGTGATTTATCCCCTTAAGCGTTGATGCTGAAATATTACTGAGGTAATGTTGAATGTCCAGTAATAGAGCAATGGCAGATGATAGAGCATGAATTTCTAGCCTAATATTTATGTTCTGCCTGTTCTTTTATCACTAGTTCACCTTTGAGAATGTGAAGTTCCGTCAGCTGCAGCGTCAGAGTTTTCTTATCACTAATGATGGACAAGTTGCTTGCACCTTCGCCTTTATTCCCAAACTCAATGACTCCCAATACTGTAAGCCCTGGTTACGTGCTGAGCCCTGTGAAGGGGTACTAGATCCTAGTAAGTATCTCATATGGCATTTTAACTCTTTATCTGTGTTATGACATTTTATTTGATGATTTTGTTAAATCATTTTTATATTTTTCGGTTTGATTCTTTTTTTTTGGGGGGTTTTGTAATAAAAAAAAAAAAGACCTGATTGGACAATTTACCTAATTGTGCAATAAAAAGGCACAGAAGTGTTTCAGAAGTAAATTTTCTCAGAGGTGGCAAATGCATTTCTCCAATCTTAACTGAATACTGTTATAGTAAAGCTGAGATTAGTCAAAGCAGCAATAATGTAGTCTGGCAACTTTACACAGTATTTTGAGCAAGAAATTGATGGCATTTTTTCTTTAATGCTTTAAAAAATTGCATGCCGACTTCTTATATACAGTAGAGAGGACATATCTGATTTATTCATGTGAAGACTGAGACCGTCCCATCATCCAGATTGACTCAAATATTCATGTTATCTGTACAGATGAGAAAATCGAGATCTTCTTGGAGGTGTATGTCAGTAAAGACTCAGTGACGCTTTTAAACTCTGGTGAAGACAACATTGAGGACATCCTGGTGCTTCATCTGGACAGAGGGAAAGACTACTTCATCACTGTCTCTGGAAACTACCTGCCCAGTTGTTTCGGCACATCTCTGGAGACTCTGTGCCGCATGAAGAAACCTATCCGTGAGATCCCCATCACCAAACTCATCGACCTGGTGAGGCCCATTCCACTGCTGGAGTCGCTTAGATTAGTAGCAGCTAATACAAAAGTAAAAGTGGTTTTATCAAATTTTTGTCTGTGGATGGAAGTGACAGATAATGGTGAGGAATTTTTCCTTGAGATTTTGCAAAAGAGAAGACTTTCCAGTTTTGCTAGAGAGAGAATGTTATAATTATATACAACTTGTTCAGTAGCATTCATGCATTCATCATGCAAACCACTCTGTTCATTTCATTCTTCACTCTATTCTCAAATTATGATTAGTTTTTCATTTTTTGGGTGAACTATCTCTTTCAGGGGTGGACAGATATATACTGACTTCCATTTTTGTTCTGAAAGCACTTTTTTTTTTTAAAAATGGCTTTATTTTGGCAGCTGAACCTCTAGAGAAAGACTATACGTGTCTTCACAGATTTCGTGGAAGGGGGGATCAATTTCAGTCTTAATTATATTCTCAAATGATATTTCTTTTTTCATTTGGGTGAACTATCCTTTAAACAGTATCCATATAGAGACCTCCATTTGTGTTCTGAAAGCACTTTTAATAGAATGTTTGGTTTCTCTTTGCAAAGAGAAAGACTGAACGTGTCTTTACTGATTTCATGGAAGAGGAGATTTATTTAATTCTTCACTATATTCTCAAATTATAATTCATATTTCATTTTTTGCGTGAACTATCCCTTTAAGTGGTAGCCAGATATAGACTGACTTCCATTATTCTTCTGAAAGCACTTTTAATAGAATCTTTGGCTTCATTTTGGCAACTTTGGAAATGTGTTTTCACTGATTTCATGAAAGGGAATGAGTCTTCACTCTTCACAATATTCACAAATTATAATTAGTTTGTAATTTTTTGTGTGAACTATCCCTTTAAATGGTAGCCAGATATAGACCTCCATTTGTTTCTGAAAGCACTTTTAATAGAATCTTTGGTTTCATTTTGCCAAAAAGAAAGACTAAATGTGCCTTTACTTATTTCATGGAAGGGGGATCAATTTCACTCCTTACTATATTCTCAAATTTTTAATTTTTTGCGTGAACTATCCCTTTGAATGGAAGCCAGATATAGACTGATTTCCATTTTTCTTCTGAAAGCACTTTTAATAGAATCTTTGGCTTCCTTTTGGCAGCTTTGGCAACGTGTCTTTACTGATTTCATGGAAGGGGAGTTCAATTTCACTCTTCGTTATATTCTCAAATTATAATTCATTTTACATTTTTTTTGCATGAACTATCCCTTTAAATGGTAGCAATATCTAGACCTTCATTTGTGTTCTGAAAGCACTTTTAATAGAATCTTTGGTTTCATTTTGCCAAAGAGAAAGACTAAACGTGTCTTCACTGATTTTATGGAAGTGTGGGATAAATTTTACTCTTCACTATATTCTCAAATTATGATTAGTTTTTCATTTTTTGAGGGAACTCTTTTAAATGGTAGCCATATATTGACCTCCATTTTTGTTCTAAAGACTAAACGCATCTTCACTGAGGGGATATCAATTTCACTCTTCACTCTATTCTCAAACTATGATTAGTTTTTAATTTAGAAAGTAATCGGTCTTCTTTTTAGTTATTTTCTCTTTCTGTCTATTTACTGATCGCCATGGGAAGCCAAAAGCCGCTTATCTATGATTATGCAAAACTCTTTTCACTGATTACGCAATGTCTCTCTGTTGTCTCCTTTTTTCTCCTACCTTTACTTCTTTCTTGCTCTGACCACTCCTTTTCAACCAATCAATATGGGTCTGCATGATTCTCAGGGAGAGGATAGCTGCATGGAAAAGGTAAAGTCCACCTTCATTTACAGAAAAGACTCATTAGGTCATGCAATAGGACAGTTGCGATTATTAGGGTGTGTTTGAGGCAACAGTAGCTGTTTTTTTTTTTTTTTTCTCAAACGTTTGTCCCAGTATGACTCTCCATGTGCTTTGCTGTTCCCACTGGTCAGCTTGCTTCAGTCACTTTGCTGGTTCAGACTAAGGAAAATCACTTGAATCTCTCAGCTTGAATTCTGCTCCTCCTTTCCTCAGTGATATTAGATTAGACGAGAGAGGAAACAGCTCACAGCATGGTGAAACCAGCCCCACAAATCCATGTTTGTAATTCGGACTGTTCTTCAGAGTTGTTTTTGGACTCTGATCTCGCCTCTGTGGCTCAGCATGAAATTCATTCCTACTAATTGCATGACTTCGCTCATGTTGTTTAGGGGTCTCAAGGCTGTCACTTTTCTGAGCATAACATGTTTCTGTGTGTGAATGAAAGAGAGGAATGTTATCTTGTGACTCAATGTTAGAGGGATACATTGAAGGCCCCATTTTTTCGAAGAACCACGACGAACAAACTAGTGTGACCACATGCAGTGCTATATTAATAAACATTACGTGAATATTTGACTGGAATCGCAGAGCTTATTTAAATGAGCTGTTTTCTCACCTTTGCTTTTTGTTATTATGTTTTGTTCCTGAGGAGAAAACATGCTGAACATAATTACATACATATACCACTATTTCAAATTTCTTTTTACTACTTTAAAAATGAAAAGGTAACTGAAAGTAAATTGGGGTCTATATTATATTCTTTAAACTAAGTCATTGTTCTTCAAGCCGTACTGTTAATAATTGTATTTTTAAAAGCACTTTTCACAAATGTAATTCATTTTAAATGTTGTAATTTGCACTCGAATAGAAAACATTTGTTTACAATTATAATAATATTCACAGTTTTACTATATTTTATTTTAAAAAATTCAACATTGGTGAACATAGGAGATTTAAAATTAAAATAAAAAGCATAAACTAAAAAAATTTACTCTAAAATTTTACCAAATTTGTGTAAAATAGTTTAATTTATCTTTTTTTACAAAATTACAAAAAAGTAAAAAAAAATGTTTATATATATATATATGTTTATATATATATATATATATATATATATATATATATATATATATATATATATATATATATATATATATAATTTTATTTATTTTTTATTTTTTTGCTGCGATGATTTAATTTGGTGTAAAACTGGTTGACAGTGAAGAGGATAAAAAATCCTAAATCAAATCAGTGCTTACCACTAGTTTGAATTATACTTGCGGTGGTAACCGGATTACTCGCATCCCATAAATAGTTAAGTATATGTGACAAACAATAATTACAAACAATAATTGTATTTATTATGACACTGTTATACACTGCTACTTTTCAATAGGTTTAAGTTAAAAAAAAAAGACTGTTGAAATACAAAATGACATCCACTATTTCTCTTATTTTTCTGCTATTCAGGAGCCATGTGCTCCCACTGACAGGTCAAATCTGCTTCTCGCTCTTTCTAGTTCAAAGCAAACTTGAATGCCAAAGCATTTTAGATTTGTATATCAAGTAGCCTATGTAATATATTAACATTGTCAAATTAATAAAATAATCAGCAAGGGGAAAAGTAAATGACAGAAAAAGGAATGAAAGCAAACAGTATCTCTAAATTATAATTATCGCAAGATTATAACGTGTTGATTATTTAAATAACGCAAATGTGTTGATTAACTAATGGTTTACATATAGGATATTTTGAAGCCAATTCATCCTCTCTGAATATAAAGTAAATTTTCGTTTAGATTCAAGAGTGAATTATTGAACTGCAACTATGTGTGCGCAGTCATCTGCAAAGCCAAGCGAAAGTAGGCTTTAGTAAAAAGGTAGCCTTATGCAAAAATTTCTATGATTAATCTTCGCTCTAGAAAGTAAAATAGAATCCCAAACATTTTAGGAGATTTAGAAACCCCTGGCCGTCTCTGTGTATCTACAGAGCAAGTGAGACTGTCTGTGCCAGTGTTGACAGGTCACAGAACGAAACGGGTAAATGAGAGAGGATTTTCCACTACTTTATCGATCACGGTTGTTTGGTTATATTAGGCAGATACAAAATAATGGTAAAGGATGATGATAATAATAGTAAAAAAAAGTGTCACTAAATATACTTGGGCGGCCTGCAATTGTAATTATAATTATAAAGATAGGGTCATACAAATTACATTACAAATTGTGTTAAAACTTTACACACTGCATTCAAGTTTTGTAAAAATTTCTTAAAATATGCACTAGTTCACAACAACTAAGCATTGGACTTTGTGCATGTATTTGTGTATAGTGCTACCAAATATTTAGGGCTCTCCTTTTAAATTTCTAATATAGCTCTTTAGGACAGTAATCATTTCTGGATTTCTCAGGAGAAAGCCCGGATGACATTCTTGTTGGACAGTGCTGGAACAGAAGATAAACCTCTAAAGATTCCCAAAGAGGTTTGGTTGCTTGTTAATCACCTCTACACCAAGGCCTGCCAGCAGGTAAACAAAATAACGCATGAATGCACCAGGGATCAATCATAAGTACTCATTTGATTGATTGATTGATTGATTGATTGATTGATTTTTTTTTTTTTTGCTACAGGAGGACCTTTTCCAGACCCCTGGCCTGCAAGACGAGCTACAAAGTATTATTGACTGCTTGGACACCAGCATTCCTGATTCCATCCGTATCCTTTCCCACCAAAAGCTCATAAAATATATTTATATATAGAAGGGACAAGAGATTTTCCCAGCAGACAGCTTACAGTCTGATAGTCTGCACAAACCCCTTTAAGGGCTCTTAGAGTTACTTAGCATAGAAATGTTAATGCCTGTCACATCAATGAATGTGACCGAGTGGCTTCCTTTAAAACCACTCTGACTGGCCGGACTCTCCCACACAATGTTTCCCTGTGCATCTGGGAGACCGAGAATGTTAGCTCTGGTTTACAGTAATGGTGCACGAGGTCCCTAGAGACACTGTGCCTGTTTTTTTTTGTTTTGTTTTTTTGTTTCCTTGTCTTTGCCTTTTGCACACAGCCATATTTTCTTCTCCTGTGGATGAAATGTGCATTCTTGCTGTTCACTGTGGTTCTCCTTGACTGCTGGTTAGCTGGCTGTAATCACTCGGTTGCTGAAGCTCTATTGATCTTCTTGGAGGCTCTTCCTGAACCCGTGTTGTGTTATGAACTCTTTCAGCGCTGTCTCGAATGCTCTCATGACAGCCGCCTCTGCAAGCAGGTACATACGAGTACATGATTCAGTTCTTGTTGTTTCATGTTATCACTCATTTTGTATAAAATAAATTTGCCACATACTCATCACAACTACATTTCAGTGGTGGATTATTTATTTTTGTGATTATTTATGACCTCCAACAGCAAAAAAGCAAAAATAAAAACTTCATTTTGATGTACAAAATTAGGGTAAAAATGTTCCAAATGATGACAATAATATGATGACAATAATATAACAAACTCATGAACACACTCGCATAAAAATACTGTTTATATGTACTTTTTTCATATTTTTGCGGTCAATGATATAAATTTTTTAAAATATGATACTGTCAGAGATTTCTAATTTCATAATTTCAAGTTTCTATTGCTTCTAATAAAAAGCTAAAATAATAATTTGTCACTGTATTATTGCTTTTTTGATACAGTAATCCTTCAGAAGAAATATTCAACAGTGTCACCTGAACATTTTTTTCAATTTTTAATAATGTATTAGCGGTAAAAATCTTATTTAATACATGTATTCACTGTTAGTTGTTTTTAATTGTATATTCATTAGTGATTTGTTTTGCCATGAAAATAGCCTTTGTTGCAAACATGGCATTAAATAAAAATACACTATCATCAGCATTCATAAATATTCTATAATCTGTAAGGCAAAGTGTATACATGAATTAACCACTAAGCCTTTTTAATAGTGTACAGTGCTCAGCATATATGTACACCCCTCACAAATCTCTCATTTAAATTAGTATTTTCTATAGGAAGCTTTACGATATTAAATTTGTGCATATACATTAGTTTAGTCAGTGCTGAAGCCAAATCTGGAGCAAATCTAACAAAATAGCTTGTGCTGATGGTTCATAAATTAAATAATAGAAAGATATTAAATAGCAGTTTTAAAAATAGCAAAAAAATCAAGAGAAACAAAAATATATACAATTTAGTTGAAATGTTGTAGTTTGTGGTTTATTGCAATATTTTGCATGAATTTAAATGTATTGTCTTTCTATTTCTAAAGATGTTCTGAGACTAAAATATTATTTTAATAAATATGTCTGTTAAATAAATTTGTTTTGTTCAAATGCACCTCTATATAATAACTATATTCACTGAGAAATGGATAAAAGTATTTTTTTTTAAATGGGTTGTACTCCATTATGCTGAGCACTCAAGTCAATCAAATGATTCATCGAAATTCAGTATTTATGTTTGTATTCTACGTTATAACTGAAATGCTCTTATGGCAATGATTTAAAGCGCGTAAACAGTTATTTTTCTTCTTTTCAGCTAATATCCCAGCTCCCACGAGCCCATCGCAATGTGTTCCGCTACCTGATGGCCTTCTTGAGAGAATTACTCAAACACTCTATTGACAACAACCTAAACGCCAACCTCCTAGGTGAGTCAGATTTACTCCATCACCATCACATGCGTAAATTCAGGTATATTACTTATCGTGTGTCTTTTCTTGTGTAGCTACTCTCTTCGCAAGCCTCCTCATCCGACCGCCTCCCAACCTTGCTGGCAAACAGACGCAACATGATCGCCAGAAAGCCAACGACTTCATCCTGGGTTTTCTGATGGCAGGCGACGAAGACTGAGGAAGAAGACAACAGAACAAGGTGTCGTCTGAGGTGGTTCTGGAGCAAGCAAACAAACAAAACAAAACAAAACAAAACAAAACAAAAAAGAAACAAACAATTGGGGTGTGTTTGTGGCTGGAATTATGAAAGGTTTTTGGGCCACACTACACAAACATGTCTCAGTGATGAAAGTTTGGCACTGTTGGATAGTGCCTGTTTTGCACAGACACTGCCTGTATGTTACGCTGTACTTCTGTTCCTGCTTTAGAGGAATGGGTGTCAGCTTATCTACGCCCCCTGATTGTGTGGCTTTGGAAGCATTAATAATTACACTTTAACCCTTACGAACCTCATCCTTTTTTCAGTGTAGCATCTGTAATGCTACTTGAAACCCTACGTTTCTCTGGTTTTTAACTCTGGATCAGAGTGCTGTAATGCCAAATCCGAATATTCCCGGCCAGATTTGACTGAAGGCGTGTGAATGTGACTCATGGGGACTCAAAAAAATGACTTTGTTACACTAAAGGAAAGCCATGTTATGGAGATTGTATTGACTGCTGCTGCCAGCTCATCTTTCCGCCTGTCTCTCACTCTCTTCTCTTTCCTCCCCCAAAAATGACCTTCACAAAGTGAGTGACTTTGACAATCGACTATCTTTCAGAGAGAAGGAGAGAAGTCTGGGATATGATCTTTACTCATTCAGTACTTTCTGAATCATGATGAATCAGCCGGGTTGTGTCTATTTGTTATTTATGGATTCCAGTCTCGTGCTCATTTGTCCTCAGCATTGGGCATTTCGGGCATCCCTCACGGTCTCTTCGTCGGTCTATTGTGATTGCACAATCACACCCATAATTCTTCAGTCATCTTCAATAGTGACTATTAGCATTGGTTGTGGTTTAGATCTGGACTTAAGGTCTTATTCTTTTATAGATCTGCTCTGGATCTTGTGCTTCTACAGAGACGTTAACATTTTAAATAATGTGGTCTATTATCGTATTGTCATGTCCTGTAAAGATGCAAGCGTGGTCTTTCTATTTATATATGTATGTTGTGAGTTATACTAACCCAGACCAGGAGGATTTTGTGTACGTTTACAGTCTTTGTGTTCTTCGTTGGTGTTCTTTCATGTTACATATACACTTTCTATTTCAGTGTGGTAACATACTGTCATGTTTATCTGTCTTGAACGCATTGGGATTCTGTCAAACATGTTTGTGAATATGACTGAAACTCTGCAGGGTTTAACTCCTTGCACCAGTCAGGCTGGCTTTGTACTAGAGTGTGTAAAGAGGAAGTCTCCTCTGTTATTAATCATCACCCCGATGCTAAAATATTATTGTAGCACAAACCACCAAAGCTGTTTCACCACATACTCGTGTGACATTGTTGCCCTTCTCCACTAGCAGCCTTTCCCTAGAATCTCACAGGAAATATTTTTTGTGAGTCTTGCAACTTTGGAAAAAAAAAAGGAGTTGTAAGCAGTTTCTGGCCAACCATGCTGTGTTTTGCCTTTCTTTATTGTCAGACAAAAAGTGCAAAATAGTAGCTTTAGATGTGTAACGGCTTGTCACTGAAGCAGTACCCTTAAAGGAACACGCCACTCTTTTGGAAAAAGGTTCGTTTTCACAGGTCACCTAGAGTTTAACAGTTCATTTTTACCTTTTTAATCCATTCAGCTGATCTTGATAAATGCAGGAACATTTTTAGCTTAGCTTAGCATAAATCATTGAATTGGATTGGACCATTAGCATCTTGCTCAAAAAAGCCAAAATTTCCTAATTATTGCTTGACTCTTCTGTAGTTCTATCATGTAATAAGACTATTTTCTAGGTCATTATGGCCAGGAAGTGTGCTGTCATTCTGGTTTAATAATCAAGGGATTTTGTTGCTGTACCAAGATCTTGCACATCGCTGTTACCTAACAGGACTATTTTTCAGGGGATGATAATATCATTGCACCTACTGCAGCCATGGTACTACAGCAAATTTCCTTGATTTTTAAGCTGGGGTGCTAGTATAGTTCCTAGCCATATTAACCTGGAAAATAGCTACTTTTCATTTTCCGTCAGTTTTAGTACACGATGAAACTACAGTAGAGTCAAGCTTAATAGGTAAATAATCAAAGCTCCTTTTTTGAGTAAGATGCTAATGGTCTAATCCAATTCAATGATTAATGCTAAGCTAAGTTCAACGTGCTTATGCTAGACTCGGAGATCAGATGAATGGATTAAAAAATAGTAAAATTAAACTGTTTAACTTTGTGGGAGTGGTAAAATAAGCTATTTCCAAAAAACAAAAAAGCTGAGTGTCTCTTTAGAGCCTACATTGTGTTTTATCTATTCCTAAAAAGGTTTTATTAGTATCTTACATAACCTAAAAGGTTCGCCTTATGGTAATATCTTAAAACATCGGTATGTACCTTGAAGGTGCTACCTGAAACCTTTTACTGCCCCAGTGAAACTGCTAGAGTACTTTTGCACAAATGCTAAGTAGTGACGTTCTGTGAATGATATTGGCTGTGGCTGGATGTCCTCTGATGATCCGCTTTTACAGATCTCGCATGTCTAAATGACTTCACACCCTCTGCCATGTTTATAAGCATATGTCTGTGTCTTTATGTTGGTGTCATTTTTTTCTGCTTAAAGGGCCACCATGGTGCTCTTCTTTCTTACTCAAACTTTAAAGGCCTGAACTATTCACTCTTTTTATTGCCAATAAATAATGTTTCTGGGAGGGCCTCATTGCTAAAGACTGAATCAGAGGAACTGATATTCGGACTGATATTACATAGTTTTCTAGAGTGCTGTAATCACCACCCCGCCTGTTTGTTTGCCTTTGTGTCCTGTCTTTGTTTCTATTTAGTTCTGGTACTTTGCAGCTGGGTACTTGCACATACTTTGTTTTATTTGTGGGAAGGGGTCGGGCATCTAATTTATTCAGTCAAATAAAAAGACATTATGACTATGTAATCGAGCATTCTAGGATTTTTATTATTATTACTCAACCTTGTGCAGGAAAGTTTAATGCTTTAAGTTTGTTCACGTACGGCTCAGCAGGGTGCAATCTAACATTAATCCTTTCTACACATGCTAACATATTATGGTATTCACTATATAATAATTGCATTATCAAAACTACTGTATATAGCAAAAACATTCGAGCATATTTTGAAGATATCACTGAACATTTATTAAACGGCCGCTAAAGTACATTTCTATCTTGAGGGAATTTGTAGTCTTAGTTTTTAGTGGTAATTTAATACACTTAAATTACATTTGGTGCTTCTTCAAACTACTTATTTAATATGAGTTGAACCAACACAATGCTTATGTTTTTTTGGGTTGGGCAACTTAATTGTTTTATGTTCAATCCACTTAAATTTGCAAAAACTGTCAAATTGTGTTGGAACAACATGAATGAATTGTGTGGAACCTTGGATTATTTACAGTGTATGAGACATAACTGTACAATTATTTGAATTTCTTCTATGTTATTTAGCAGTTTGGACCATTTTTTAATGCTTTGCTAACTAGCAGAAAACACCCACCGGTTTTAAATTACAGTTGTGCAAATGGAAAAAGTATTAACACTGCAATATAGTGTGTTCCTGCATTTATTAGAAAAATACTGATTTACAACATAAGCAATGTAACTTTTATATTTTTATATATATATATATATATATATATATATATATATATATATATATATATATATATATATATATATTTATTTTATTTTATTTATTTATTTATTTTTATTTATTTTTTTTTTTGTCATCGTCGTTTTGAACTCTGCTGTAAACTGTAGCTGTGTGTTGGGATTCGGACCCTTACAAGCATGTGAAACCCTGCAATGTTTTTATTGTCACAATCCAAAATAAGTTTTTATTTATTATCAATCTTAAATTACACCATTGTATTATTTGGAAAAATTTATTAATTTCATTTTATTGAAGGAAAAAAAATTTCTTCATCTTTTAATAATGTCACAACTTAAAATGTTTTATGAATAAGTATCACATTTTAAGCTGTCATATTAATACTTACCTTACAATGTGTCCAATCTTTTTGCCATGATGTAAAAAATAACTTCCATACTTTGAACTGAATAATGGAAACATTTTACACTTTAACCATGAAAAAAAAACACACATATTTGTGCAGGACAAGTGTGAAACATTTTACTTTGAACAAGGGTTTCACAATATATTAAAAAATATTGTTATGGTCATAATAGTATATCCAATATCCATATCGTAGAGAAGTGCAAAAGATTTAATTCATTTTATGTGCCTAGCAATTGTGTCCTGCATGCATACACTGCTCATTGGATCAACTTTAATAAATTCTTAACTTTTTACGCCTAAAAGTACTGATAAAATAAACTAAGTTGAAACCAATTCATTCATGTTGTTGTAACAACCTAAAGTATTTTGTTAAAGTTTTCTCCTTTTACAGTGTATGCTCTTTTATCGAATTTGACCAATCAGATGGGGCCTTTACACTCTTCTACCCGCCTCTTCAGTAGGTGCTTTTTGGTGAACTCAGAACTGAAAATATTTCTGGGAGACGAAATGCACTCAAAAAAAAAAAAGGGCATTTACTGTTTGTTCAAGCTACTTATTTAAAATGAGCTTAAACAACTCAACTATTGATGTTTGCAACTTAATTGTTTTATGTTTGATTCACTTAAATATGTAAAAAACTTACAAGTTAACTTTATTTCTTCATGTTGTCCTAACACAACTCGATTGTGTATAAACCAACATTTTTGTAGTATAAGAAAAGAACAGCCAATGAGAATCAGTGTTTCTGCAGAGATTTTCAGTCATTTATGATGTTTTAACTTCTAAATCTTTGCACCTCAACATAAATTTTCTAGCTTTAATTAGCTCAGAAAATAATCTCTTACCTGTTTATTTTGGTTTGACAATTATATAAATGAAAGACTTTTTTCATTCATTCATTTTCTTTTCGGCTTAGTCCCTTTATTAATCAAGAGTCGCCACCGCGGAATGAACCGCCAACATATCCAGCATATGTTTTACGCAGCGGATACCTTTCCAGCCCCAATCCAATACTGGGAAGCATCCATACACATTCATTCGCAAATAAACTACAATTAAGCTTATTCAATTCACCTATAGTGCATGTCATTAAACTGTGGGGGAAACCGGAGCACTCAGAGGAAACCCACGCAAACACGGGGAGAACATGCAAACTCCACATAGAAATGGCAACTGATCCAGCTGGGGCTCAAACTAGCAACCTTGCTGTGAGGCGATCTTGTTTCAGCGCCATTGTGACACCAAAGATTTTTTTCTTAAAAAGTGCTGATAATATAGCATTTTTTAAAAAGTTATATCATCAGAAATGCAGTTATTGCAGCACTCAAAGATATTGTGTATTTTTCCAGTATTATGCAGCTCTACTTTGGACCCCATGTGTATTTACACATATTAAGCAAGTCAATAGGGTTAAGTGTTGTGCCCTGCTCTCCGCTAATACTGTCTTTCAGAAGGAGTGACCTCCAGTCCTGGAGCAGCGGCTGAATTGTTTCTGCTCTGTGCGAAGAGTTTATCATCTGACACTGTTCCCCTAGTTGGTCTACTTTTGTGTTCAGTGAGAGTTCCCACAAGTGTGTGTGACATTCTCAGCCAGTGTCTATAAAGTCCGCTTGCTTGTCTGCTTGTCATCTTGTCTTTTCTCTTGTGCTGCTGTCATGGCTCTGCTGAGAGTGTCTTCATACCGTAAGCTGTTTGAGGAGGAGCAGACGAGTCTGGCTGCAGGACGCTGTGGAGTCCAGGCCCGCTTCACTGCAAGGTCAGTGCGTATACGTCCAAAGATGGTACATGTTCAACTCTAGATTGATCTGCTATTTGTCATTATAGAGAGCATTCTGCTGTGTTAAAACTGAAATGGTTGGTACATTTACAGTAATACCAAGTTGGATTAATATACAAAATGAACAGCTAAAGCATGTACAAATGATTGACTTATGTTTACTCACTCATATTTGCTTTGTTGTCATTGTTTTTAATATAAATGTTAATTAATTATGGCGATAATAATATAATGGTGTTTTTTTTCAATACATTTAACATTGATACAACATGTAATAACATACAATATGCATATACTGTGTTTAAAAAATGCATAGTGCTAGCTTTTTTTCCTTATATATATTATACACACACACATATATATTTGCTTCAATTAAATTAAGTTAGTATTGTATGCAAGCTATGTTTATTTATTTATAATAGTAATAATAATAATAATTAATACATATTGTTTTATTATTGTAATATTCATTCATAAACTTTTTAATAACAAAATTCAGTTTTAAATATTTACTAAAGTTTTGGGTTTGTAAGTGATTTAAAATGCTTTTGCAAGATGCTCGTCATGCTAAATTTCTTTGATCAAAAATGTGTAATTTTGTTAAAGATTAATGCAGTTTCAAATGTCTTAATATGATAGCAAAGCTATATCTTCCATATCACTAACCAGTTTTGATTGTTTCACAGTCTTCAGAGAAATACTGTTAAATTACTGTTAAAATACAGTCTAAAATACTGCTCATGTGCTCAGGGAACATTTCTTATCTTTATTGAAAGCTTTTTTTTTACCATACTTTTCATTCCCCACAATTAATACACAAATTAATAGCATTTCAAGCAATTTAAATGGAAACAACAAATGCATTTTTTATCTACTGTAGTTTATTTATTTATTTAATTATTTAACCAGGAATCTCCCATTGAGACACAACATCTCTTATACCAAGGAGTCCTGGTCAAGACAGGCAGCATAAGACTTACAAAAAAAAAATACACATCAACACATAGACACACGCAAAAATAGTATAAACCATAATCAGTTGTTAAAACGTGTGCACTGTTCTAAATTGACAGTCTTTAAAATAAAAGATTATAATATAATGTATAATTCTTCACATATGTACAGTAGCATACTTCAGATCAGATTTCCACACAAACTCTGTGTGGAAAAAAAATGATATCTTAAGTTTAGGCTATATCTGCTGATCTGGTATTGTAAGTATTTGAAAAGTACTCCAACAAACTAGATATATTATATACTGTGATAATTTACCAATTAAAGCTTTTAAATAAACACTAAGATATGTTGTTTTCTCCTTGACTGTATTGAGCTCCATCTTGTCATTTTATATAAGTTACAGTGTTGTGTGTTTGTGTGCACTTGAACAGTGACAATACTTAAGGCATATACAACAATATCCAAAAACATTCAGAGGTGCGTGCATATATATCTTCATAATCCAATAATGATAGAAGTGTACTCTCAACAATTTCGAGCTGCGAAGGAGAAACTTTTTTTTAGACACACCTGCTGATCTGTTTGAATGGTGTAAACAGTGACTTCACTCTTTATTCTTCCTTTTAATATAAACACCATAAACGTGCTGCATGAATGTGTTATCAGTGAAGCTCTTTTCGTGCTTCAGCATTTCCTCTTTTCATTCAATAGTGTTTGTTTATGCTTGCTTGGAACATAAACACATTCTTTGGACAGTTTTTGGATCTGTTTCACAGGGGTGGAGTGTCAGAGATTGAATGTCCTGAGCTGGATTTTGCAGCAGCTCGTGCACTAAACAAGGAGGGTGCGTCTCGATTTGTCCATGAGCGTTCTGTCATCGCTGCCCTCAATGATCGCCTCGCCGGACTCATCGATGTGGTGAGACATACATGAAGATTTTCACACTCACACACACCCAAGGTTCTGCTGGGTAATGCGCAGCTGTGCTCATGCTGAATCTAATGGGTCTCCCTGTGTGTGGCCTAATTATCATGTTTCCATGATGTTTAATGAGGTCAGTCACTTGCCTGAGGGTGTGAAGAAAATCATATTAAGGCCATGAATATGCTGAAGTCACATTGTCCTCTACCTCGTATTGACGTATGATGTGACATTTTGAGAATAAAGTGGTTTCTCTTATTTGTGGTACAGGGATGCTGAACATTTGATTCTGGTTTACACAAGTTGCACATCTTAACCGGACTTCAGATCTATATCATTTCACCAAATTATTTCAAAATTTCTGGAACGGTAAAAAAAAGTGTTGTTATCCTGGAATTTTTAAATAGTTGCTTTCATTTATTTATTTAATTATTTACTATATATAAAGAGAATTTATATATTTATGTAGTGCATTAAGTTTGAAAAACCCACATACATCTCTATTCATTTTGTTCTATTTAAAAATTTAAAACTATACAAATCTGTTATTTCTCAATTTTGAGTACTTTGTCAATTTTGAGTATTTGTCAATTCTAACTTTTTTCCTCAGAGCTGTGATTTTATTTTTCTTGTGAATTGTGAAATGCAAATTTAAAATTGCAAAGAAAAAATATGCCAGATGCCCATCAAGCTGAATTTCTTTGATTAAAAATGTGTTACATGGTTAAAGATTAATGCAGTTTAAAATACCCTAATGGGAGAGCAAAGCCTAATTTCCAGTATATCATTACTCCAGTTTTTATAATGACTTAATCTTTCAGAAATCAGTCCAGATTTCTCATCATCTTTATTGAAAACGTTTTATTTTACATACATATTTTTTTACTCGACTAATGCACGAATGCACATTTGAATGTGTTTTTTTCATTCATTTATTTATTTTCTTGTGAATTGTGAGATGCAAATTTAAAAAGAAAAAATTGTGAGAGATTGCCATTCTTTTTACTTTTTTATCTTTTATTCTGTGGCACAAACGAGCTTCCCTACCAAAACCAAAGCAAATAAATAAATATTAAACAGCAAGATAAAACTTCCATTTTTTCCCACAAAATTTTATTAACTACATAAATTGAAATGCACACAAAAATATCTTACCAGCGCTTTCCTGGAATTCATCAATACAATAGGTTTGGTACCAGTAGTATAAGCGTGATAATTCTGCCCTAATTTTTTGACTAAAGACTTTACCCCGCTAGAAGGTGGAACTGTGAAAAATTACTGGTAAGACTTTAGAATAATGGTCCAATAATTCATGTATTTGCTAACATTACCAAAGTATGAATAAACTTGTAAAGCACTAATTAATCATAGTTCAACATTAACTAATGCATTATTAAAATCCAAAGTTGTGCTTATTAACATTAGTTAATGCACCATAAGTTAACATGAACTAATATTATTTGACTTAAATAACATTAACTAACATTAACAAAGATGAATAAGTACCATAATAAATGTATTAGTTTGTTCAAGTTAGTAAATACATTAACTAGCAGTAACTAATGAACCATTAATTTAAAGTCTTACTAAATTACTTTAAACTTTTTGTTCTTCAACCAAATTAATTATAGTTAGGACACCTAGACATCTAGTAATGGTGCACTGTAAAAAATGCTGAGTTTCACACAATCCCTTCATGTTGTCCCAACACAAATTAATTTAACCAAACTGTTTCTTAAATTTTAAGTGGATTGAACATAAAACAAATCAGTAGTCCCTCCAAAAACTCAAGAATTGTGTTGTTTCAGCTCATTTTAAATAAGTAGCACAAGTTGAACAAGCAGCAAAAATTATTTTTAGATGCACATCCACGTGTTTAAGAAGGTACTGAAAATCCCAAAAGTATCAACAACTCCATATCAGACACTGCCTTTTGCCTTTGCACAATAAAATTGACTTTGGGCCATTGAATTGTTAATGAGACCTCAATGCATACCGGAGTTGTACACTCAAAAATAATTTTTGCTGCTTGTTTAAACTACTTTAAAATGAGCTAAATCAACACAACTCTTGAGTTTTCGTTCGGACAACTTAATTGTTTTATGTTCAATCCACTTACTTTTGTAGAAACAATTGACAAACATGACAACATGAATTGTGCGTAACCCTGCATTTTTTTTACAGTGTAACATCAATTATCGCCTTTTTTTTTTAGCAACTCTCAGAGGTGTCATCAGTTGTTCTTTGTGTGTTACCGAACACATCCTCTACTCTTGTATCTTTGCATCTGTTTTGTGTGGCTGTTGTAGGTTCGGGGATTAGAAGAAGAGAACGAGTCTCTGGAGGCTGAGATCATTGAGCTGAAGGAGAAGAAAGAGTCAGAACAGATCTCCACCACCACCGTCAGCATCAGAGACCCTGCCGACTTCAGCCTGGATGCTGTGATAGAGAGGCTGCGCAAAGAAAAGGTACCCTTCAGCAACTCCAGCCTGGGTGGTGCTGGATGTTTAGCTTCACTCGAATGATTAAATTGTCATTTTAAAACACACAATCATTTTTGTTGATTCTTTTCCTGCTGCTGGCTGGTTGTTTCCCTCAGGAGGAGATTTTGTGTAACACGGAGGAGCTGAAGGGTGAACTGCGGTGTCTGCAGATGAAATGTGATCAGGTGGTGGAGCACAGGACTCTCATCCAGCAAGAGCGAGAGGATGTTTCTGTGGTAATGCCATAAAATCAGCAGATGTTATTTGATATGTGGTGCCCAAAAATATTTGCACACCTCAGCTACATTTAAAGATGTGTGAGTTTCACTGCTTTAGATGCTGAGATATTTTTAAACCAAGAAATGACACGGGATCTTTTCTCAGAGTTAAAGTTTTTCTTTTCACATTTACTTGGGAGATTGATGCCATTTTAATGGTTGAATTCAGTTTATTAGTTCACACAGGATAAATCATTGAAATACAAACACTAGTATAAATCTGGTCTACTTAATAACCATATCAATGATTTACACGTTACCTATCTGCTTGTTAAGTGTGTGGTCACTTGAAGTGGCTTCCGGGTCCAAGCGCTCTATCAAACTGTATGGGGAGATTCAACAAACGGTAATATTAAAAGTTTACAAAGCGCTGTAATACTTTCAAAAATTACGATGGCAATATACATATATATATATATATATATATATATATATATATATATATATATATATATATATATATATATATATATATATATATATATATATATATATATATATATATATATAACCATGTCTAATATTCGATGGCCAGAAAGTGATTAATATTTTATAAATTGTTGAAATATTGGTATTCGTGACGCAGCAAGTCCAGAGACTGATGTGTACACAATGATTTAATATAAAATTCACTTTAATGTGTGATAGGATTAAAAAAGTGGTCATGAACAAATATTTTCTCAATTCAAATGAGTGGGCAAGTGGATGCTGCACACTAGTGGTGGTGTGGAGAGACCCCTCATGATTGTGTAGCGCTTTGGGTGTATGGCTATACACAGTAAATGCACTATATAATATGGCTATACACAGTAAATGCGCTATATAATACACGTTACATTCATTCTGTCATTCATTTTCTTTTCGGCTTAGTCCCTTTATTAATCTGGGGTCACCACAGCAGAATGAACCGCCACATTACATTACAGAGTACAATTTATTTTATAATTAAAATGACTTTATATTCATTTCAATTAACAATAGCAACGCATTTCGTGATATTTAATAATATAAGAGTCGCAAAGTGATATAAAGGACTTAATAATGATTGTCAAATGTCTGGTTCAATATTTTATTTAATGCAGCAGTCGCAAACTCAATTCCTGGAGGCCCGCAGCTCTGCAGAATTTAGCTCCAACCACCTCCAACTCACACCAGCTCTCACAATGCACTTTTCGCCCCCTAGACATCTATTCATACACATGCAAGTGTGACAGATTGAAAACGCAAGATCGTGCGACAAGTTTTCGCAGTTCGCTGTATTGTAAAGTTCAAGACTCTGACCTGCAAAATTGCGTCACGTGACTACATGAAACCAATCAAAGGTCAAAACATGACCTCTCTGTACAGAAATTAAAAATATGGACCAATCGCTTGTTTTTTTTAATGTCTAATCGTCTTGTTGATTCCCGCCCCTTTTTGCATAGCCATACAGCAGAGTTTCACATGCTCAAACTCCAGTGTGGCCGCGCTTTAAGAGTCTCTAGTAGTCTTGAACATCTTGATTAGTTAGATCAGGTGTGGTTGATTAAGGTTATAGAAAAACTGTGCAGAGCTGCAACTCTTCAGGAATGCAGTTTGAGAACTATGATCTAATGCAATTAAATTTTTAAATGCACATAAGTTATTTGGTGTTTTAGTATGTTTATAAGGGGTTAGTGTGGGTGTTATACAAGACCGCTCAGTACAGAAATGTTACACTCAAAACAGTAAACTTAATCATAAGCTTAACACATTTATGCACTAGAACAGGGGTCACCGGCATCACCGGCTCAGCGGGTAGCATGATCACCTCACAGCAAGAAGGTCGCTGGTTTGAGCCTCGGCTGGGTTAGTTGGCATTTCTGTGTGGAGTTTGCATGCTCTCCCCATGTTCACTTGGGTTTCCTCCAGGTGCTCTGGTTTTCCCCACAGTCCAAATACATGCACTATAGGTGAATTGCATAAGATAAATTGTCTGTAGTGTATGAGTGTGAATGAGCGTGTATGGATGTTTCTCAGTAATGGGTTGCAGCTGGAAGGGCATCCACTGCGTAAAACATATGCTGGATAAGTTGGCAGTTCATTCCGTTGTTGCAAGGCATCACGGTGGTGCAGTGGGTAGCACGATTGCCTCTCAGAAAGAAGGTCACTGGTTCGAACCTCGGCTGGGACAGTTGGCATTTCTGTGTGGAGTTTGCATGTTCTCCCTGTGTTCACGTGGGTTTCCCCCAAATGTCCAAAGACATACGCTATAGGTGAATTGGGTAAGCAAAACTGTCCGTAGTGTATGTGTGTGAATGCAAAACTGTCTATGGATGTTTCCCAGTCATGGGTTGCAGCTAGAAAGGCATCCGCTGCATAAAACATATGCTGGATAAAATGGCGGTTCTTTCTTCTGTGGCAAACCCAGATTAATAAAGGGACTAAGCTGAAAAGAAAATGAATGAATGAATGAATGAATGAATGAATGAATGAACGAATGAACAAGGGTCACCAACCCTGTTCCTGGAGATCTACCTTCCTGCAGTATTCAGCTGCAACCTTGATCAAACACACCTGCCACCAAGCGCTCCTTCAGATCTTTCTTAGTTGTGTTTGATCAGGGTTTGAGCTAAACTCTGCAGAAATGTAGATCTTAAAGAGCAGGAGTGAGCACCCCTGCACTGGAATATAAGCTTTTTTTCATTGTTAGGCTTCCTCCACCACTAGATGGCAGTGTTAGCTTGTGCTGTGGGTGGGGTGGGGTGTTTTGTCCCTGGAGTGGCACAGCACAGCTGCTGCTCCCAGATCCGCTCTGGAGAGTCCTGATTACAGGCCCCGCTGACTACCGGCCAGCGGCCACTCTGAAACCCGAGCCGCTTTCTGTAGAAACCACTCCGTCACCCCACAGATGTCAGAGCACATCTCCAGTAAAAGAGCAGATGTGGGAAAGCTTTCACCATGCCTAATAATTCACTCATTCAGCTTCTCATATCTCCTAGATGCAACAGAGCAGGGATTAGCTCTCAGCCTGGCCTAATAGAAGAAATGAGGGTCAGAGAAAACGAATAAAACATGAAGAAGAACCAAGGAGGTAGTTATGATCGAGTCAAAAAAATAATAAAGAGTTGAGGTTGCAGTTATATAAATAATATAAGTGTAAGCATGCGTGCATAGGCATGTGCATTTTTTCACTAGTGTGGTTTCAGTAGTTTTATCTGAAAGAGGACCAAATATAAGACAGGTCACGGTTTTGTCTAGGAACTCTGTTATAAGAACTAGGCACCAGGCCAGTCTGCCAGAAACAAAATGTCCCCTTCTGGGCATTTTCTTGGTTGCATTTGCATGACCATGCAGGTCATCATGATTAAAGCTGTGTTTTGTTTGTGTTCGCCAGTGTTCACTTTTGCCATAGGTAGTTCCTATTTTGCTGGTTTAGATCTTACTCTAAGGTTGCAGTTAATTTTTTGTTTTTATACCTAAAACAATTGCTGTGGTTCAAATACACCAACAAGTACAATAGTTATTCTGCTAGTTATTGAAAATATGAAAACAACCTTCAGTGCAAAAGCCAATATGTTGTTTGCTACTGCTTCAGTCTTGACCCTTGTGCCAGTGAGAGATGTCTGTGCTCTGTTCTGAGAGACTCATCCCTATACCCTAATCTCTCTGAAGGGTTTACCCTCCAGAGCAAGGAGTTTCCAAACCTTTTCAAACTTATAATAATAATAATTACTTACATTTATATAGCACTTTACTGGACACTCAAAGCGCTTTACACATTGATAGAATCTCCTCATCTACCACCAGTGTGCAGCATCTACCTGGAGGATGCGAAGGCAGCCATATTGCACTCATTGAGCAGTATAGAATGCCCTTCACTATACTGGGGTGTTACGACCCACACAGACCGCAGGTTGACCGCTCACTGCTGGTCTCACTAACACCACTTCCAGCAGCTACCTAGCTTTCCCATGTGGTCTCCCATCCAGGTACTGACCAGGCACAGCCCCGCTTCACTTCAGTGGACGACCATGTGAGAGTTGCAGAGAGCTAGCTGACAGTAAACTTTTACCCTTGAGTTTTAGCTTGTACCCTATTTAATAAATGGCTTCCAATTAATGGACCTTTACCAAGTTGGCACACTTCAAATACATTTTTGAGTGATGTAGATGTACAGTTCAGTGGCCATCATGGCCAAAGCTGCTTTGACACAAACTACACTTAGAATTAAGGATGACTTGACTTGGCCATGTGCAAGTGTCTGTAAAGTCCACAAGAATTTTGAAAGATCAAGTCTTGGCTTTCAGGAACACCTCAGCCTGAGTGTGCCACCACTGTGCACTAAAGTGATCTGTACAGCAGACTTTATCCTCACAGTCAAAACAATGTTACATAAAAAAAGTGAAAATCTAAAAGTTTAGGATGCCATCTGGCACAAGGCAACTAGAAACATCTAGATGTTTGGGGCTAAATTCTGCAGGATGATTGCCCCCCAGGAACAGGATTAGAGACCTCTGCTCCAGAATGAGAGCTTCAAAAAGATAAAGGGTGTGGGGGATGAAAAAAAAAGCTGGTCCTTGGAATGCACTTCTGTGTCATCTGTGCCACATATTAAACATGTGCAGTGAAATCATCACTTGTACCCTATTAAATCTTGAAGAGCTTTTTGAAGTGGTCAGTTTTAAACACTTCAGTTTGGAACGACCTTTTATTATAATGGCTATGATTTTTCTGACTTTGTGCCCATCAAGAGTACCCTTTGGAAGCCAATGTAAAAACAAGTGGATGTTATTGTACTGCTATTTTACTCACAAGGGCACAATGTTAAGCAACATAGTGATGCTCGTATAAATAAATTAACTATAATAGTAAATACAGCAATGTTAAATTTTTTTAAAATAATTTAGATTTTAATTTCATTTTGTTGATTTTTTTTATTTGCTTTCTTTTTTCTTTATTTACAATAACCAGCAAGTAGTTTTATTACACAACACAATCACTTCACAAATAACACATACATTTATTAGATACATTTTTCCAATTTAAGTTATAAACCAGAGTTATTAAATGCACTTTTACTACAGGAAATGCATATGTACAAACATTTAATGCAAAAAATGATAGAGCAGGAGCAAATATTAACTGTTTTAACTGTTTTTCTATTTTTAGAGTTAGAAATCACTTTAATATACATTTTTTTGTTTTATATACATTTTTGTTTAATATAAAAAGGATACAGCTTATGACTATATCATAAAACAACCCTGAATCCCCAACCCCCACCCAGAAAAACTTGTTCTATAATAAGAAGACAAAAGATTGCTGTAAAAGAATAATGTTAAACCAAATAAAGAGTAAAAGTTAAGTAAGTACAAATAAATAACTTACATCATGAGATGCATAAAGTACATATAAACAGAAAAGCTGTGTATTAGGAGTTAGAAACAAACAAACAAAAAAAAAAAAGGTAAAGTTATATTCCAGAACAAATTCTTTTTCAGGCACCATGAAGAGAGGTTTGCTTTTGGCAAACTTGGATTTATGTATGTGAAATTTACATAATAATAAAATAAAGTTTCTAATGAAACCAGTATCTTTTAAAGAGCGATCCTTAGTCTAATAACTCTCAAAAATTATTTTCAAATATTATGAGCAATAAAAGCTTCAACATTAGTCCAAAAAAAGTTAAGTACATTGGCAGGACCAAAATAGATGTGAAATTATTTCATTAAAACTTTCACAAAAACAGCATTCTAACTCAATATCAGTTTTAAATTTGTGTACAAATATTTTGGTGGGATAAACTCTGTGAATTCATTTAAATGATATTTCTTTAGCCTTATTTGTAATTTAAAAAGTGAGGTAATGACCATACTTGAGTCCAGTTTACATTAGTTAAGATATTGTTCCAGTAAAAAACAACATTCGGTATAGACGTATTTTCTTTTAAGATTAAAGATGTAATTTTGTTATTATTTGGCTTAAATCCAGAGAAACAGATAACTCTGACTGAGGTCTGTTCAGATCTAGGAGGACAAACAAAGAGCGCTGTACAGCATATTTACTGTTAAAGTTTTTTTTTCTTTTTTAAATATTTACCAAATGATGTGTAACAAAGCAAGGAAATTTGCACAGTATGTTGGCTAATATTTTTTTCTTCTGGAGAAAGTCTGATTTGTTTTATTTCAGCCATGAATAAAAGAAGTTTTTAATTTTTTAAAAACATTTTAGGGGAAAAATTATTAGCCCCTTAAAATTTATTGATAGTCTACAGAACAAACCATCATTATATAATAACTTGCCTAATTACCCTAACCTGCCTTTTAATTAATTAATTAACCTAGTTAAGCCTTTTAATGTCACTTTACGCTGTATAGAAGTGTCTTGAAGAATATCTAATCAAATATTATTTACTGTCATCATGGCTAAGATGAAATTAATCAGTTATTAGAAATGAGTTATTAAAACTACTATGTTTATAAATGTGTCAAAAAAATCCTCTTTTCGTTAAACAGAAATTGGGCAAAAACAATAAACGGGGCTAATAATTCAGGGGGGCTAGGAATTTTGTATTTTGCGATAAATTTTGTAAATGTAAATAATGTTCTTTCGTCATCAAATAATTGATTAACTAATATCAGTCCCTTGTTAAACCAATTGTAAAACAATAGTTATTTATTTCTATACAAGATATTGGCATTATTGCAAATAAGAAAACTATGTGGGAAGAGGTTGGCAAAATTTAGAGAGTTTTATTGGGAGTTTTTCCTTATTTGCTTTCATGGTGACTTTAAAGCAGCTTTTTGTCATGGAAAAAAGAGAAAATGTGAATTAAATTTTATTTATTTTTTTTAATAAACCTCAACGCTGCATCTAAATGAAATGCGTCCACCATAGTAAAGTTTAGCCCTGTGGCGGTGTGCAATAGAAGAAGCAAATCAGCATTGAAGCTCTGTCTAGACTCTATCCAGTGCCGGCCTTGTGTTCTTGCTGAGATAAGGGGAACAGTGGCCACAGTGCCAATTCTGGGCTCTGGAGTGCATTTGTGTGCGCCATGCGCTTCCTCTGCTGCCCGTAGCCATCGGCTCACTGCAGCATTCAAATGCAAATGCTTCCATTCTGCGTAATTGAATTCATCGCCAATTAATCAGCCACTTAAGATACCCAGATGAACCGAATAAATGCATCTTTGTATGAGCAGAGGATGACAGGCTACATGCGTGGATGTCATCTTCCATACATTGCGGTCTTTGCTGCGGCACAACTAGAAGATGCTGAACACAGAAGATGCAGAGGGTGAGTGTTTTGTGTTTGAATTGACCTTTATTTCTGCTACCCAACTCAGGAGGTGGATGCAATTACCACTGACTGCCTGGCCCTTCGAGAACAAGTTGGCATCTATGAGGAGCAGCTGGCTGCTATGGAGAGGCAGCATGAAATGGTAAGGCCCAAACAGCAATTCTTCTCATTTGAGATTGGAAAAGTCCATTGAGCTCAGGAATCTAGTACTGCCTGTGGGGGTTTTGCAGTTTAAGATGTCTCTTGTGATTGTAAGGGGAACAAGTTTGGGGGAACAGAGATTGACAGGAAACATGGTTCCTCAAAACACAGAACGAAAGAATGTGGTGTATGGGGGGTCTGGGGGTGCACAGCGAAATATCCACTGACCTCCCTCTGGGATAACTCGCAGTGCAGGCGTATGAAATGAAAACACAAGTTCTTCTTGTTTTATTAACTGCTATTATTATCCTGATACATCTGCCGCTCTGTCATTATTCATGTTGATGAGAACAAGCTGAGACTCAGACTCAATCTCCTTTTCGTGAACACTTCATCGGGGCCAGATTAATGAACAGCTGCCCTGTCTCGCACAGACAGATGTTGTTACCTGAGGAGAAACCGAAAGTCATGAGTTGCATTTGTTCACAGAGGCTGGAAAATCTGTGTGAGCCCGGGCCTCTGGATGAAGGTTTTTCAACTGTATCCTTACAGTTCCCTCCCTTTGACATAACACCAGCCATCATGGATATCAAGGGGTACTATAGGACACTGGCTGAAAATCTCAAGGTAATATATGCATGGAGAACACTGAGAATGCATGTATCCTAGTGATATGTACAAGCTAAATTGACAGTGTTTACAAAACCATTCAAAGGTTTAGGGTTAGTAGGAAGAAGGTAATACAATTAAACTCATTTAGGAAGCAATTAATTTGTCTGCAAAGACTTTATATATTTAAAGTATGTCAATGCTGTTCTTTTTAAACTTTCTTTTATCAAAAATGTAGAGGAAAAAATGTTGTGGTTTACATAGAATTATTAAATGGCACAACCATTTTAACCTTGATAAAATAGAAATGTTTGTTGATTAGTCTTGGAAAATCTTTAAAAATGTAGAAATGTACATTAATTTAGCAGAAAAAACTAAATCAGTTAACACTACCTGACAAAAGTCTTGTCGGCTATGCCAGTTGTAAGAGCAACAAATAATATCTTGACTTCTAGTTGATCATTTGGAAAAGTGGCAGAAGGTTGATTTTTCCGATCAATCATCTGTTGAACTGCATCCCAATCATCACAAATACTGCAGAACACCTATTGGAACCTGCATGGACTTAATATTCTCATAGATATCAGTCAAGTTTGGTGAAGGAAAAATCATGGTTTGGGGTTACATTCAGTATGAAGGCATGCGAAAGATCTGCAGAGTGGATGGCAACATCAACAGCCTGATGTATCAAGACATTTGTGCTGCACATTGCATTACAAACCACAGGAAAGGGCAAATTCTTCAGCAGGATAGTGCTCCTTTTCATACTTCAGCCTCCACATTAAAGTTCCTGAAAGCAAAGAAGGTCAGCCCAGTCACCAGACATGAACTGTATTGAGCATGTCTGGGGTAAGATGGAGGAGGCATTGAAGATGAATCCAAATAATCTTGATGAACTCTGGGGGTCCTGCAAGTACGCTTTCTTTGCCATTCCAGATAACTTTAAGAATTTTTGATACTGTACATTATTTCTGTTCAGTGACAAGACTTTTGTCTTAGCAAAGTCAGACCTTACTCTCTTAATAAAATAATAAAAAATCAAGACATGCTCATATTTTGTTTTGGTAAAATAGGCATATTTAGAGACATTTACCTTTCATATAAGCTACTTCTGATACCAAATCATAAACTAGAAGTCAAGTTATTATTTGTTGTTCCTAAAACCTGGATAGGAGACAAGACTTTTATCAGGTAGTTTATACTTGAGGAACACAGTACATAAAAAATGATGATGGGATGTAAAGATTTCTAAATTCTAAATACATTTATTTTATTTTATTGTAATTAAAATTGTGTTAAGGTTCACCCAAAGAAAAAGTCTTTAGAAAAAAAAATTAACATAATGTTGAAACTTTTCTGTGTTTGAAGAAGAACTAAAAAGCCCTGATGTGCTTTGTAAATGACAAAATTGTCTTCTATAAGTGAAATGACCGATTAACACATCTCAGTGCTGGAAGTTTGCTTGTTTTTGTCTTCATACTTTACTTCAGGGGACAGCTTTGTAGGACAGAGAGCTCAGTCCACATCCAGCACAGAGCACTATTGTCATCTCGGTTTGGTTTAAGGGGTGATGGAGGGCTTTCTGAAGGTCATCCTACAGCACCAGTGCCCTCTGACCCCGTTTGACCCAAGAGTGGCTGTTCTCGCCTGGGGTCACGGTGATAATCAGAGCTCTGGAGCCCTTCCCAGACTCCTGTGCAAAATAAGAAGAGCACTTCTGCACCGGGACACTACAGAGTCTCTATAGGCTCAAGAGTCTTCTAGTGTTTATTAGTGTGTGGGTGCTAAAAGTCATGCATACAAAAACACACACAAACGTATCATTTACTACTGCTCCCTGTTTTCTTTTGGTCTGTGTTTCTATTCATTGCTCTCTCTCAGGTGGTCTCAGAAGCCAAAACGAGTGCTTTGTTTCATTAGCGCTGCACAAGGCCCAATTGTTTCGCTCACAATTGATATTGATTGGGATTTGCGGGGAACAATAATTGGAGGCTGATTTTGTTGGACTGGTTGCACCTGCTCACCTGATGGCCTTCATTTGCTCTTCTTTCTTCTGGGAATAATCAGTGCTTCATCTTCTCTGCCTGCTGTCTGCTTGATGGGTGGTAACTCTGATGTTTGAAACCTGAAGCTGTGAACTTTTCCTGCATTTTAGTTTGAGTTCAAAGGCTCGCACGCCGCCGCCGTTGATGCCGCAGGAAAGGAGAAAAAGGAGGAGCAGCTGGCCAGGTTGACTGGAGGGAAAGTGAAGGACATCTCTAAAGAGACTGATGTGAATGTCCTCAAAGACTTGGTGAGTTTACTCTAATTAACACTTAAGATTTGATCCATGAAAAGACAGTCCAATGCTTTATATTGCTGACAAAATGGTGGCAAAAAAGAGACAAAACAAATCTTCTGTGTTTACAAACAAATGATTCTAAACCAATATTAAATAGTTTTACTAAGAGTTTTAAAGGTGCCTTATAATGAAAATCTGGATATACATATGCAATACGCATAGCTGAAGAGTTTAATAGATGGAAATGGCATACCATGAGCCTCAAATACTATTGATTCCTTGTTCTCATGTAAATCCTGTGAGTGAAAATCCTAGTGAAAACAGTCCATTTGGAGCAAAACAGACTGTTACGTTTCAATCGGGATTACTAACACACAAGCTACAGGCTATGTTGATTAGCCTCAGTATTTCCTAGTGAGATTACAACAATGATAATTTTCCCTCTTATTTTTAGGTTTATCTTACCTTTTATTAAATTTAGTATGTATGTGGGGCTCTTATTTTTAAAACAAATAGTAGAGGCAGGGAGACTAAAGCCCACTGCGTAAAACGGTTGGCGATTCAATCCGCTGTGGCGACCCCAGATTAATAAAGGGTCTGAGCTGAACAGAGAATGAATGAATGAATGAATGAATGAATGAATGAACAAATAAAACCGTTTCTGGAGAATTTTGAACTGTGGAACTTACTGAATCAATATAATCAGAGCCACTTATTCTGTAAATTAGTCAGATGTTTTATTGAGTTCACAAATTAATTAATTTAATTTGTTTACCAGTCACTGTAATTAGAAGTTTTCTTAAATCACTTGCCAGTCAGTGTTTTGACTGGTCACACTTCAGCTGTTGGACAATTGTTTAATATGATTCAAGTTCACTATTTCATACTAAAATGTACATAAATTAGTTTCATATGGACATTTAGTTTTGTCTATATAAAGGATGCAGATTTAGGTGACATTAATAATTAACCCTTTAAGAAAAAAAAAAATAGGTGGAAAACTGAAATGTTTATTAAACCATCTAGCAAACAAACTAATTTTTGCCATATTAATTTTTTTCATATTTATTTTGTATCACATCATCATACAACAGGTGTTTGTCCAACTTTTTGCTCACAACAGGTTCATTTTAATACCAAAAAATTATTTTACCGTTGACATTTTGACAACAGAGAACATTTCTGACAGTTTTTCATTTTTTTTTACCTGTTCTTTTTCATCAAATCATAAACAAAAAGTTTTTTTAACAAAGTATTGATCAGGTTAATATTATAAAGGTCTTAGATACTTGAAAATAAATTATGATACGTGCAGCTCTATAGGATTAATTCTTATATAAATCTCTTAGGTTTTATTAATAATTTCAGTAAATACAATAATATAAAATAGGGTTGTTATATAGGACTGTTATAAAATATAGCATTATAGTAATAATAATAATAATAATAATAATTATTATTATTATTATTATTATTATTATTACTACAAGTGCTTAAATAATGTTATCAGCTTGTTTTAACTCATTTTCTAATATACAGATATAAAATGTAAATGTAAAATGTAAGAAAGGTAACCTAATACTTTTTTATTCTGCACATGACAGAATGATAATTTCAGAGATTTAGTCCTGCATTCAAAAGCAGTTGTCACTCTAAAACCTGTGTGGCGTGTGCAAGGCTACAGCTTAACTCCAATGATTGACCTGAACACACACCACCTCAACAGCTCAGCATCAGACACGAGTTCCTGTGTCAGCCCTAATGCTGAAAATCAGCGTTTCAGAGGACTTTTACTGAGGGAGGGGGCTGTTTCACAATGCAGCGTCCTCAGTTGGACTGACAGCCGAGAAATAAAGTAAGAGAACTCCTGCTGCCCAGAGTGTTTATTCCCAGAGATTGGACCAGGAGGATGTGAGCAGCGTATAGTCTCTAACAGTGTTTATCTCTCTCACTGTCTTTCATTATGAACAATACATTTCACATTCTGCCAACGCACTCCTCTCCCCCAGTCATAAACTTCATAAACTTCACACATTCCTGCAGTGCCTCAGGAGACAGCAAATCGTACTGAGCCATAGTAATAAAATCTCACCTGTCAGCCTCCCTCAACGGCAGGAAGAGAAACTTTAGGCTGAAAAAAACGAGGCAAGGTTGAAAAAGTGACGATGCATTAGCTTAAAATGGGAAATCGTTCAGGATTAATGTTTGAGATGATTGGGAGTCGCTCCCTGCCTTCGTTTACATTCTGAAGAGCAAGAAAATAGTCAGTCAGCCACAAATGTCACCTTTAGGTTTGAGATAACAAACAGAGTGGTTTGGTTCTAATTATTGCGGTTGTGGTCGTAGTTCCTCTTTTAAAATAAACTGACCATCTCCAACCAACACATAACATAGGATTCTGTTCCCTGATCAGTGATGGACAGTCTGCTCTGCTTCATCTCCATTTCTTGCTTCGTAGTATATTCTCTCTTCATTTAGAGGTATAGATATACATACAGTATACACTCACCGGCCACTTTATTAGGTACACCTGTCCAACTGCTTGTTAACGCAAATTTCTAATCAGTCAATCACATGGCAGCAACTCAATGCATTTAGGCAAGTAGACATGGTCAAGCACAGTCAGAGTAGAATGGCCAGACTGATTCAAGCTGATAGAAAGGCAACAGTAACTCAAATAATCAGAGGTATGCAGAAGAGCACCTCTGAACACATAACACGGCAACCTTGAGGCGGATGGGCTACAGCTGCAGAAGGGCCAAATCGAGTCCCACTTCTGTAAGCTAAGAATAGGAAACTGAGGCTATACAGTTTGCACAGGCTCACCAAAATTGCACAATAGAAGATTTGCAAAACGTTGCCTAGTCTGATGAGTCTTGATTTCTGCTGCGACATTCAGATGATAGGGTCAGAATTTGGCATCAAAACATAAAAGCATGGATCCATCCTACCTGGTATCAACGGCTCAGGCTAGTGGATATAATGGTGTGGGGGATATTTTCTTAGCAGATTTTGGGCCCATTAGTACCATTACATTTGCCTTGTGTCAACACCACAGCCTGAGTATTGTTACTGACCACATCCATCTCTTTTTAACCACAGTGTACCCATCTTCTGATGGCTACTTCCAGCAGGATAACGCACCATGTCATAAGGCATGAATCTTCTTAGACTGGTTTCTTGAACATGACAATGAGTTCATTGTATTCAAATGGCCTCCACAGTCACCAGGTCTCAATTCAATAGAGCACCTTTGGGATGTGGTGGAACGGGAGATTCGCATCATAGATGTGCAGCCGATAAATCTGCAGCAACTGCGTAATGCTTTCATGTCAATATGGAGCAAAGTCTCTAGGGAATATTTTCAGTATAGTACCTTTTTGAATCCAATATGTAATAAGGTGTACCTAATAAAGTGTCCAGTGAGTGTATATAGGCATTAGTGGACATCAGAACTCAGAGGTTATGTAAGTAATCTACAGAAATGCTCTCAGATAGTCAGTTTGCATTTACAGCATAAATGTTATATTTACTTTTTATATGATTTCCAATTCCTTGTGTGCAGTGCAGTTGTTGGTAGAGAAATTATGGCATCTAAAGAAACAGATGATTCTATTTTTACTGGGAATTATACTGTAGTCAATAAATATTCTTTATCTGTTAGGCTCTCTTGTAATTGTTTTGTATCATGACAGTTTTCAAGTCTGTCTCAGTGGGCTGATGGTAAACAATAGTGTCCAGAAATATCTTTTGAAATGCTAATATAAAACATATTTATTTTTTAGAAATTGAGTTTTTTTTTCTTTGTAGTGTCTCAAACATATGCATTTTAGGAACACCCAAAGATTAAAACTATTCTTCTAAAATTATGCTTCTACACTTCGTATTTTTACCGGAAATAGTAAACCATCCTGGAACCTTCGACATACTCTTTTCAACATACTATGGTTTGGGACATACTAATTCTATTCTGCTTAGGATGAATAGTATGCGAATTAGGATGCAGCAAATGTCTATGGCTGTTTCTCGATTCCAAGAACGTAGAGAACAGACTTGCGTTCTTGTGAAGAGCGGTCTTGCTAGGTTACCTCTGAGAAACAAACTTGGGAGAGGGCGAGGACACAGAATTTGTCTTATGAGAAATAAGCTGCTGCGTTCTTCCTGATGGTCACATGACCCTCACGCATCTTTAACCAAAAATCATTTCAACATTACCGCATTCATACAATGATTTATTGTTTTTCCCTTTGCACAATATACACTATGCAATACTTTACAAATATACATTACACAATATAAATAAAAATATTTTAATACGAATTTCAGCAAATAAACACTCTTAATGTATTCATTCCTTTCATGTTAATGTTTATATTCACCATTTTATTTAGGGAAACTCCTGTGTAGGGCTGCACAATTCTGGCTAAAATGTAAATCATGATTGTTTTTGCTTAAAATCAAGATCACAATTCTTTCTTAGATGTAATATAAAGGTTAATATCAGTATTATATTATTATTGTTAAAATCTGCTTTCTGAATGATTTTGAGATATTGAGCTTCAAAGTTTTGCAATCCATATAGCAAACAGTATGTGTGCAACATTTTATTTATTTATTTTTTTAAAGTTTTTTTTAAATGTAAATAAGTTGTCATTTAATAAGAATATGTCAATAACTCAATTTTGGATAAAATGTCAGATAAAAGCTTATAATTCTAAAGTGATGATATGATAAAACAACAATAATAATATTCGGCCTATGTAAAGCTCTACTGTTGCTTAAAATGCTAAATTTTGTACAGTCAATATGGTGGACTTGAACAGACTTTCAATATGTCCTGTTTGTTAATTCACAGTAAAATGCTAACATCAGAACACAACTATTCATAAATATAAAGTTGATTTAGGATGTTTGAGGCATGTCCTTGTCATTTGTCATTGACCATTTGTTTTCACTGGTAAAATCAGACATTTGTCATTATCAGATTCCTTCTTGCATTATATAAGCTAGAG